GTTTAGTTCTTTTCCTGGAGTTTCCTTCTGTTCTTTCATTTGGGACATGTTTCTTTGTCTCCTCATTTTGGCAGCTTCCCTGTGTTTGTTTCTATGTACTAGGTAGAGCTGCTCCATCTCCTGGGTTTGGTAGAGTGGCCTTATGCAGTAGGTATTCTTTAGGGTCTAGTGGCACAGCCTCCCCAATCATCCGAGCTAGGCACTCCAAGTGTGCCCCCCCCCCCCGGTTGTTACACCCCCCTGTTGTAGTTGAGCCTTGATTGATGTTAGCAGGTCAGTGGGAGGGATTTACCCCCAGGGCGATCAGCTGCAAGGACTGGCTGTGACCACTGACCACCATGGAGGATCATCTGTGCAGGGCGCACCCCACAGACTAGGACTGACTTCATTCAGCGAGGCTCTGGTGCCACAAAGCCTGCCCATTGAGTGTGTCGCTTGTGGAGGTGGTTGGGTGGTATTTTGACATGGTCTAAAGCTCCATATGGACATTTTATAATGATGAAAGTCACTCCTGTTCACTATAGAAAATTTTGGAAATGCCGAAGACTAGAAAACATTTGTATAAATTTTATATTAAATGGTAAACACTCTTAACTCCGCTACAGTTTTTTTTTTTTTTTTTTGGGGGGGGGGATATATTTCCTCTATCTTCAACTTTATTTATTTGCTTCCTTGTTGACTTTTGTTTATGAAAATATAACTACAGATATGCTCTTATATCCTGTTCTTTAATTAACCTTCAAGTTTTGGAATAGTTTTACATTTAGAGAAAAGTGTAGAGAGTTTTCACATCCCCCTTTGCCCAGTTTCTCCTGATGTTCACATCTTACGTTACCATGGTGCATTGTCAAAACTGAGAAACCAACATCGGTACGTGACTATTAGCTAAACTCTAGACTTTCTTTGGAGTTCACTCCCCCTGTCTCCCCACCACTGTCCTTCTCCTGGCCTGGTATCCAGTCCAGGAGCCCACCTTTTACTTAGTGGTTCTTTCCCCCTGGCCTCCTCTGGTCTGTGACACTTGCTTAGTCTTTCCTTGTCTTCCATGACCTGGACAGTTTTGAGGAGTATGTCTTAGGTGTTTTGTAGAATGTTCATCAAATGGTCTGATATTTTTGTCATAATTAGACTGGAGTTCTGGGTAGCCTGAGGTGGTGGGTATTTGGGAAGAGTATCAGAGGTGAAGGTCTTTCAACACATCATATCAAGAGGGACATACTCTCGACATGCCTTGTCAATGGTGATGTCAACCTTGATCACCTGGCCAAGGTGGTATCTTTCAGGTTTCTCCTTTGTCAAGTTTACCCCCACTCCATTCTTTGGGAATAACTCATCAAGTCCAGCCCTCACTAAAGGATTAAACTACTTTCACCTCATGTCAGACTATTAGAACTTTTACATTTCATTGCAACTCTTCGGGCACGTAGGCATGGGCCTACGTTACAAGTCAGCCAGTGGGATGACATTTGGCTTGAAAAGTTGCCTTTTGTTTGTCATTTAGTTTGTGTCCAGTTCCTCATGTTTCCATTGTCACAGAATTGTGTTCAGAGTGAACCGACGGTGTGACCTCATGAGGTCGTGTTGGGCGGACGTGTTCTGCTTTCTTTTAAGTCTTTCCCTTGTTGCTGCTCGTGTTGGCGGGGCTCCTCGGGGACGGGGATCTGACTGGTTCCACCCTCATCGTGTTTGTTGGGTGAACGAAAAACCCCTCCTTTTTCATTCCTAGACATGACATCAGGCGAATGGAACGTTCTAGTTCTGGAAGCTGTCCTTATGACCTGTCCAGGCCTGGGAGACTGGGTCAAAGCTGTGACTGTTTTAACAGTGTCCTTGGCCAGCTTTCCAGAGACTTCCCTCGTATGAGCCTTTCGAGTTCAGTTGTCTCTTATCTGGGAGTTTGGTTCCGTGGTCAGTCCATAAGGTGAAAATTTCTGTGGTCGAAATCCCCTTGAGAAATCCCCTTCGCCTTCCTTGGGGGTCACTGGAATTGCAGTCCTCAGTGTGAGGCTCACAGGGCTGGAGACCCGCGAAGGGGCAGCAGCCCCAAGGGCTGGCAGCAGGTTGCCTCCTGGGGACATTCGCCCCCACCATGGCCCTTGGCGCATACACGGAATCTGCATATGCCCCTGCTGCTCAGCCTCAGCAGGGACAGAGGGGAGACTGGCCCTTCGGGAGGTGAAGGCAGGTGCACGGGTCAGTTTTCTGCTTCAACAGGAATGCAAATAGCTTTCGTGGGACCAGTGTTGGCTGCTTGGGCACCTTGGGACCACCCAGGGAGCTTTAGCCCCAGGCGTGCACAGCGCCCCCTGCAGACTTCCCGCTTCCCTCCGCATGCTGGCTGGAGCTCACGAATTTGCATTTCTGAGAAGTTCCCAGCTGATGTTGACGCTTCTGGTCCAGGGACTCTACTCAGAGCAGCACCGACTGACACAGGGCCACTCGCCACTTGTGGCTATTTAAGCATAAATGAACTAAAATGAAAAATTTAGTTCCTTGGCTGCACGAGCCATGTTTTAGGTGCTCCACTGCCACGTGTGGCCCGTGGCTGTCCGCTGGACAGCCCAGTCCAGAACATCTCCATCATCCTCGGAAGTTCCGGGCCGTGCTGAGGTTGGAACCTCAGCTCTAACACTTACTGGTTGTGTGAGTCTGGGCAAACGACTTAATTTCGCTGTGCCTTGGTTTCCTAATCTGTAAAAGAGAGATCATTGTTTCACCTCCTAGGGTTGGTGTGAGGGGTCAGGGGGCTAGTATGTGAAAAGGGGTTGGACAGGGCCTGGCTTCGCTGGTGAACACGCACACGTGTTTATCATTGTCATTGTTGTTCTAAGAAGCAGGGGTGGGTGGTGGAGGTGTTGGTCCAGCCTCAGGGTGGCAGGTCGGTTTCCTGGGGCTGCCAACCTTGCCTGTTTGGTAGAGGCTGCCTGGGGTGAGGTGTTGCAGGAGATGAGATTAAGCCAGGAGCTGAGACTAATCAAGATTTCAAGATTGTTTAGGGACATCTGCCATGGAAGGGGGAGGGGCCGTTTGTGGCTCACTGGGGGGTCACTGTTTGCCAGCCCTCCCGTGGGGGTTGCCCTGGTTCCCAACCCACCGGCACAGGCTGAGCGCCCAGGAAGCAGGCTGAGATGGGGTTTGGGTGCGGGAAGCGAACAGGGGGGCGCATAGAGCGTCGGCACCTGTGGAGGTGACGGCAGCAGGGGGATTGGGCTGCGATGCAGTCAGAGCTGAGCCTCAGCCAGCTCCGTGGGGAGCCTGGCACGGCCCTGCAGAGCTGCCCTGCACTGAGGCCAGAGGGCTAGGTGCTCTGACCGGTCACTGAGTGCGGGTCATGACCTTGGCTGAGGCACTCTCTCTGATGTCAAGTCCTGGGTGGGAGAAGGGTGGACTTGTGAACGGCTCCCTCCCGCCCCTCCAGCCGCTGGGTAATCAGCCTGCCTGTCCTGCTTGGGGTCAGGCTGGGCAGCACAGATCCATACGCCCAGAGTGGGGAGTGGGGTAGGGGTGGGTAGGGGAGTAGAGTGGTGGGGCCCTAGCACAGGCGCCCAAAGAGGCCCTTTGGCCCCCACCTTTACCTGGGGACCCAGGTGCTCCAGTGCCAGGTGGGACTTGTGGAACAGGTGGGCTCTGACCTCCTGCTGCTGAGATGCTCATGTCCTGGGCCCGGAGTTTGCTCCACTGGCCCCAGGCAGCTGCACTGGCGTCCAGCTCCAATCTCTCCGTTCCTGGACACGGGGAGATCCCTGGCTCTGTCTCTGTCTGCAAGTTCTGGGTTCCCGAGGGGACTGTGACCGCTGCCTTGGTTCTGGATGAGCTCCGCTGGGCACCAGCTTGGCCCGATCCTCCTGTCTCCTCTTGCAGCGCCAGCCCAGCACTCCTCTCTTCTCCTCCTGCTCTTGCACCTCTTCCCCGACACACCACCAGGCTCTGGTCTCCCCAGCCCCGCCCAGCACCTGACGCCCTTGGTGCTGAGCCCCAGTATTGAGGGTAGGGAGCAGCCTGCAGGTAAAGGTCTCCGACCTCTAACAGAGGTCAGAAAGCTGGAGGTGGGGACGCTGGGTGGCCAGGAGTCCCACTTGGTCATCTCTAGTGGCAGCTGCTGAGTGTAATGAACATGCTGTTTCCTTCCAGATGGACTGGCAGAGGCCAAGTTGACAATGTTGGGAAACTCAGTCATTTTCTGCCCACAACCTGGGCAGCTTCCTTCCTGGGCCAAGCACAGCCCCTGACCAATCTGAAGTTTCCAGAACACAGGCAGTTTTCTCTGACCACACCAGCGCCCCTCCCCCGCCCTCTCTCGCTCTGGGGGACACGGCTCTGCAGCTACAAGGGACTGGATCTCATGCCCCTGACCCACCACCCGAATCCCACCCTCCCCACTGTTCATGCTGCTCCCCGAGAGGCAGTCAGTTGGTGGTGACAGGCAGACCCGGAGGCGCACACTCGTGAAGATCTCTGTGTGGGGTCAGACGACTGTATGTTTTGGGCTCTGATTCAGACCCAGCTCTGACCTTGAGTAGTGACCCCCAGTTCCTCCCCCACATTGCCTGTTCTGAACCCCGGGGGTCAGAAACGCACACTTGCAGGGGGTCGAATGTAGTGTGGGCACAGGTCACATTCTTGCCTGCATGACACCCAGGGCATACATGGAGCTGAGTTCTCCCCCCTCCTCCTCTCTGGCCTCCAGTGACCTCTCCTTGGTTTGAACCTTTGTGACATTTCATATCTGCAGAGGTTATCTGGTCATCTAACACCATCTTCTGCCCACACTGTATCTCCTACATGGACCACATCCACGGCCATCCCCGCAGGGTGGAGATCAGCCTTGTGCATCAAGGTGCCACCCCAACCTTGAACCCAGGTCTCTGGTGCTCACTTAACAGCTGTTGGCGGGTCTTCTCATGGAGGGCCACCTGAGGGAGTAATTGATGGGCGTAGCCGAACCCTCCACTGCTGAAACCTCTCGAGGTTGATGGATCTGGGGTTTCTCTCTCTTGCAGCATCAGCCTTCGGGAGCTGAAGACCATCTTGCCCATGGTCAATTTCAAAGTGAGCAGCGCCAAGTTCCTCAAGGATAAGTTTGTGGTAAGTTTCATAGCTCAGCCTGGTGATTTTGTGAACTTGGGGCTACTGGTGCCTCTCATGTAAAGTCCCTACATGCCTTTGAGCTCTGTGGCAGGGTGCCCGAGAAGTCCTTTGCCTCCAGATTCAGCCCAGTCCAGACCGAGGGATCATCTGAAGATCTGAAGACCACGTTCTCAATTCTAGCAGAGGACGTCACCCATGAAGATTGTGTGTACAGGGCTGTCTGACTTAGAACACTTTACCAGCCCAACTTTCCCTTGCCCTCCCCATCCTGCAGCCTGTTTTCCTTCTAGTAGTGTGAACAGATGTGTTCGTTTTGGAAAGCATTTTGAAAGATTCCTCATGTAGGTTGCGGGGATGTGGCATTCTGTAAGCAAGTCTTGAGAGTGGTCACAATTGATTCTTCTCTGCCCTTCCCTTTGCTACCCACCTATCAGTCCTCCCACCCACCTCTCCTCTACCCATCCTTCCTCCCACCCATCCTTCTTCCCACCCACCCCTCCGTCCACCCACCCCTCCATCCACCCATCCCTCCTTCTACCCATTTCTCCTCCTACCCACCCTTCCTTCTATCCATGCCGCCTCCTACTGATCCCTCCTTCTGCTCATCCTTTCTCCCACTCATTCCTCCATCCACTCACCCTCCTTCCACCCACCCCTCCTACCATCCATCCACCCACCCCTCCTTCTACTCATCCTTCGTCCCACCCACCCCTCCATCCACCCACCCCTCCATCCACCCATCCCTCCTTCTACCCACCCCCCCTTCTATCCATGCCGCCTCCTACTGATCCCTCCTTCTACTCACCCTTCCTTCTACTCACCCTTCCTTCTACCAATCCCTCCTTCTACCCATCCTTCCTCCCACCCATCCCTCCTTCTACCCTTCCTTCGTCCCACACATCCCTCCTTCCACCCATCATTGTTTATGTTCTTGTGTAATTAAGCTGTTGGTAGATCTGGGGCAGGTAAAGTCACTCCAGGAGTGATGGGGCATAGTCAGTGAGGTGGGCTTTTCTGAATGATGTAAGGATGGAGATGATGTAGAAGCACCCTTTCTGATCCCAGAGAGATGCTGACTCTTGTCAAGGAATCCAGCAGCACTCCATCCCAGCACCCCCAGGTGGAGGACTCACATGGCCGTGTCAGCGGCAGCCCCAGTCACAAGATTCCTCAGCCAAAAGAGCTCATTCGTTTTTGTACCAATGAGCTTCTGGAAAAGTTAACCCCCTTCATGGTTTATCAAGCCATCTTCTGACTTGCCCCCAGCATTCCAACTAATTCAAAAAGACGAGAACAGTGAAGAGTGGGAATTGAAAGAAGAGAAAAGATATGGAGAAACATTTACTGTTGATTACCACTTAACTGGAATTTTGTTCTTAAACAAGCCTTCCCTGGGCGTTGCCTTGATGTGATCTAGTTCGATTTCGGGGAAGTCCTAGGAGGGTGGTGGTGGTTCTCCCATTTTACAGATGAAGAAACTGAGGGTCTGAAAGGGTCACATAAGTTGCCCAAAGCCATTAAGCAAAGCAGGGGACAAGCCTTGACTGGAGTTGAGTTCTGTCTAATTAAAAAGCTTGGTTAGTTTTCTTATACTTTAATAAAGGACCTATATGGCCCTGGCCGGTTTGCCCAGTGGTTAGAGCATCGGTCTGTAGTCCAGAGAGACTCGGGTTCAGTTCCCGCTAAGGGCACGTGCCTCGGTTGCAGTTTGTCCCCGGCCCTGGTTGGTCGTGCAGGTGGCAGCCACTCGATGTGTCCCTTTCACGTTGATGTTTCTCTCTCTCTCTCTCTCTTCCTCTCTCTCCCTCCCACTCTATCTGAACAAAAAATGGAAAAAAGTCCTTGGGTGAGGATGGAAAAAAAAAAAAATGACCTATATGTACATACCCTATAAATATGTCTAGATTTGAAAGTGTCTTTGCTGCCCCCCAAAAGGAGGAGTTCTCATTAGAGCTCTTGGAGTTCTGGTTGAGACTCTCCCCGTTTTGGGGTCGAGGGAAGGATTTTCCCTGATGCGCTCCCTGGTGGGTGTGTTCTCCAGGCCGATAAATCCGGAAGCTTGTGGACAGTTGGGTTCTGAGGAATGCTGGTTTGATGTTCGCCAGAGTTCTAGAAAGGCCTCCCGTTTCTGTAAACAGGGAGGAGGCATTCTTGCAGTGGGCACCAAAAATTGTGGAGTCACTTTTTTTTATTTATATTTACAGGAAATAGGTGCACACAAAGATGAATTCAGCTTTGAACAGTTCCATCTCCTCTATAAAAAACTTATGTTTGAACAGCAAAAGTCGGTAAGATGATTCTTGAGCCAACGGTCGAACGATGTTTCTGTTTCCCCCCGTGTTTCCCAGTCTAGCACGTTCCTAAGAAAACCAGAGAGGTCTCCTGGCTAGCCACAGAAGTGAGGATGACAGTGGTATACCAGGTTCATCTGCGGGCTGGCAGACTTTTTAAATGTGATAGTGCGGTGGGGAAAATGTGGGGGATTGAGCTTACCTATCTTCTTGGTGGGAACAGGAGTGATTGTAAGTTTGACTGAAGTTCATCGACTCAAATGTGTAGTCTCATGCTGGGAGGGAATTTATCAAATTATTCACAGGAACCATCTCTGGGTTGAGGGATTTTGTGTGTGTGCCTTCTTTTTATACTTTCATTCACTTTTATGAGAATGTATTTTTAAGATAATATGCTATTTTTTTAAATGAATTAATTTTTTTGTTACAGATGTTTCTCCTTTTTTACCCCATTGCCACCCCCCACCCCACACCCACCCCGTCCCCGGCTTTGTTGTCCATGTCCATTGGTCATGCATACATGCATATAAGTTCTGTGGTTTATCTCTTCCCACCCCCACCCCCTCTTCTGACGGATGTCATTCTGTGCCCTACTTCCATGTTTCTGGGTCTACCGTATTCCTCAGACTGTTATGTTCATTATATTCTGTATATAAGTGAGATTATGTGGTATTTGTCTTTTTCTGTTTGGCTTATTTCACTTAGGATAATACTTTCCAGGTCCCTCCATGTCATCTCAAAGGATAAGAGATCTATTTTAAATTTAAAATACAGCCCGGTCAGTGTGGCTCAGTGGACTGAGCATCGTCCCATGGACTGAGAGGTCTCAGTTCGATTCCCGGTCAGGACACATGCCCAGGTTGCGGGCTCGATCCCCAGTAGAGGGCGTGCAGGAGGGAGCCGATCCATGTTTCTCTTACACATGGATGTTTCTAACTCTTTCTCCCTAAAGAAACCAATAATAAAAACATATTTAAAAAAAGTTTTTAAATAATTTTGGCCTGACTGCATTTTGGGGACGCTGTTTTAGAGACACGAAAGCACTAGGACCTAAGGATTTGTCACCAGATTGTTTATGGCAGCATCACTGATGCGGGCAAGATAACTGGGCACCACCCGCGTGCTCTCAGTAGAGGAGTGTCTGGGTAAATTAGGTCCCACCGCACTCTGCAGCATCCTGCGCGACGGAGCGTTCCGCATCAGTCGTGTTCCTGGCGGTGTGGGAGGATGCTCACGAGGTGTTGTGAGGAAGGCCAGCAACGGATTCATGCAAGGAGCTAGGTCCGACTTCTTCTTTTTTGTAAAAACAAACCAGAATACAGGAATCCTCCCATAACTCGTGTGTGTGTGTGTTTATGAACAAGGAGAAAATAGGAAGGATGCACACCTCCCATTGAATGTTGATTCTGTATGTCCTGGAGGAGTTTGGAAAGATGAGAATTCTATTTTTCTTTGCACATCCCAGTTTTCCTTTGGCTTGTTCCAAGTTGGTCCGTTACTTTTGCAATAAAAAAAGGTCCCCCAAAGCATAAAGCTTAAGAAGTGGAGCCTTGGGGGCACTGGATGGAACACGGTGCCTGTGGGTGGCGTGCCTGCCGCAAACAGGAGTTGCTGCTGTTACTGGTGGCAAAAGGACTTTGCAGGTGGCAAAGGCGGGTCCGAAGCAGGACTGAGACGGGGCAGGGAGTAGGTGGGAATTGGAGCCAAATGGATTGTCTGGTTTTCCAGCCAGCTGTATGATCGCGGGCCAGCCACTGACCACTCCCAGCCTCAGTCTTCTCATCTGTGTAATGGGGGTGGTGATCCCTGCACCATAGTGGTGTGTGTGAAAGTCGATAGAAGACACTTACTGCCTTTTACATGCAGGCTGGCCACAGGGTGAGGCCTCTTGATAGGTGACCAATGACCGTGGGCTTTTGGATATCTCCAAGGTAGAGAAATGGGAGAACATTTCCTGTCTGTCTGGATTGGGCAGAAAAAGTACATTTTTTTGTTTGTTCTGTTTTGTTTTTGCGGGAGGGAGAGAGAGAGAAACTTTGATGTGAGAGAGACACATCGAGTGGCTGCCACCCACACAACCCCAGCTGGGGCCGGGGACAAACTGCAGCCGAGATACGTGCCCTTAGTGGGAACTGAACCCGGGTCTCTCAGGACTGCAGGCTGATGCTCTAACCGCTGAGCAAAACCAGCCAGGGCGAAGTACATTATTTTATAGAGTAAAAAATCCTACTGCACCGTGTTTACTTTTTTCACATAATATAGTAAGTAGTTCTTGGTTTGCCAAATAGAGTAGAAAGGTTGTAGGCATTGGGAGTTGGAAGGCCTGGATTCCAGCCCCAACTTGACCTCTGACTGACCAAGTGATTTTGGGGAAACCCATCTTTTTCCTTCTCATTCAGCCTCCTCTATAAAATGAAGGTATTAAATCAGGTTATTGGTTATAAAACTTTAAAAACTATATACTCCCCTTCCCTTTTAAAAAATAAGTTTTTTAAATTGATTTTTAGAGAGAGAGGAAGCGGAAAGATAGAAACATCCATGTGAGAGAAGAAACATCGATCGGCTGCCTCCTGCACGCCCCCTGCTGGGGATCGAGCCCGCAACCTGGGCATGTGCCCTGACTGGGAATCCAACCAGCACCTCTCAGTCCTCTGGACGACGTTCAGTCTACTGAGCCACACTCGCCGGGCTCTCCTTCCCTTTTGCATATGGAACCTTAATAGAAGTTAATCTACTGCTGATTGAGACACTTCTTAGGTTAAAATACATAATTTTATTTATAGTCAGTGCTTGAGAACGATGAAAATGTTTTAGAAAGCGGCGTGCCTGTGAGCTCCAGAGTAATGACGATTGCCGTCCTGTGCAATTGACCAGGATTGAGGAAGACTCGATTCAGTCAAGATTCGTGGTTGCAATAGCCGTTTTTATAACGAGTTGCCTGGGAATTCCGGGATGCTGCCTCACGGGACAGGTGGCAGGCAGAGCTTGAGGAGAGGCTTTGCAGAAGAGCAGTTTCGCCTGCCAGCCCAGGTTAACCCACGCAGTCTCCACTGCGATGAAATTCCACCTGAGGTGCATTTCATCCTGCACTTTCCCGTGTGCTTCCTTTTAAGGCTAATTAATGTATGTTTGTTTGAGAGGGAGAACGGAGAGGAAGAAATTTGAGTCAGATTTCTGAAGAGCCCCCAAATCCTCTGGTGGTACCCGAGATCGCCCAGTTTTAGGGAAAAGGTGTGCGTACCAGAGGTTACCCTTGGTGGCCACAATGCCACATTCAGCCTGTATTCAATTGTACTTGACCTAAGGCAGCGGTTCTCAACCTGTGGGTCGCGACCCCTTTGGGGGTCGAACGACCCTTTCACAGGGTTGCTTGAGACATAACAGTAGCAAAATTATAGTTATGAGGGAGCAACGAAAATAATTTTATGGTTGGGGGGTTACCGCAACATGAGGAACTGTATTAAAGGGTCACGGCATTAGGAAGGTTGAGAACCATTCAGTGGTTTTAAATGCTTTGTTTGTTTGTTTGAATGAATTGCATATATTTAAAACTTGGGAGGTTTTATGTTAAGATCCAAATTTTTAGCTTCTCTTGAAAAAGAAATTGGATCTGGCCATTATACTAGTTTATGTTGCCCGCCTGGCCCTAAAGACATTTGGGTTGGCAGCCTCTGATCTCCACCATTGGACGGTGTAACTGTTCGATGGGCCACTGCGTCTGAATTCAGGGACTTGGAATTTGAGAAGCGAAGCCCCAAGCTCTCTACATACTTACTGGCTGGCTTGAGAAACCACACTGCTCTTGTGGTAGGTAAATGCCTCTCCCCAGCTGTTAGCATATAATTCCTGAGCTGTCCCTGAGAGCGGAGCACAGAGAAAAGTATTGGTTGTGTGCTCTTAGGGGCTTGGCTGCATTTCTCGGGCTCCCTGGGAAGGCAGGGCTATTGACGGTGATTGATGACCCCCAGACCTAAATCCAGGGAGTGGGTTCCTGCTCATCAGTAATTACAGGTTTCCAACCTGAGGTTGTCAGTTCCACTTTGGATCTACCCAACTGCTTATATTGCTGCTTTCAAGCTTCAGAGCTTCCAAAAGTTTGACAGCAGCAGGAAGATAAGAAATTCCATGTGTGTCCCCCTGGTGAGGGGACATACCTCTAACCTGGCTGTAATAACACCGTTATGAACACAGATCATGGCTAACATTTTCTGAGTGCGAACTCTATGCTGGATGCTGTGCTATGTGTTTTACATACATTTAATTCTTGTAACCCTGTGAGAGGTACTGTTGTTGTCCCCATTTTACAGATGAAAAAACAGAGGATCAGAGAGGTTGCTTGCTGGAGGTCATGTAGCTAGTAAGCTGCAGCTAGGGTTTGAGTTCTCCTATGGCTACCTTCAGTGCCCAGCTACTGATTTTAAACCTTTTTTTTTTTTAATCCTCACCTGAAGATACTTTTTTCAAACATCTTCAGATAGAGTGGGAGGGGGAGAGAGAGAAACATCGATGTGAGAGAAACACATCAACTGGCTGCCTTCCGCACGACCCCGACCAGGGCCAGGGACCAACCGCAACTGAGGTACGTGCCCTTGGCCAGAATTGAACCTGTGACCCATTGGTGCACAGGCTGATGCTCTACTGCTGAGCCAAACCGGCCAGGGCTGATTTTAAACTTTTGTATGACGGGGAATTTCAAACATATGCAAGCAGAGACTCTAGTATCACAAACCGCCATATAGCCATCAGCCAGCTTCAGCAATGATCATTCAACTCATGGCCATCTTATTGTGTCGACGCCCTGCCTTGGTGCCAGTTGGTGGAGTCCACCCAAGTTCACGGGCACACCCATGTCCCCGTGCTTTCCCAGCCGGGCGTCCACCCCATAGAAATACTGGCCCAAGTGGGCAAAGATTTGGACCAGGACCTTCTTTATAATACAGGACATTGTAGCAGAAAATCGATGACATACATGTTATGGAATACAATGTGGGCTTTCAAAGTAATGAGGCAGGACTATTTGAGGTTGTAGAATAACATTTAAAGCTTGAAACAACAGCAGAACGTTGGGAGACATGGCATAATATATTATGGTAAGATGGAATTAAACTCTTATCCATAAAACAAATTACAGAAGGGAACCTATGAAATTTCTAAGAGTGATTTATTCTCGCCCTGGCTGGTGTGAGTCAGTGGTTAGAGTGTTGGCCCATGCACCAAAGGGTTGTGGGTTCGATCCCAGTCATGGTGTATGCGGGAGGCAACCAAGTGTTGTCTCTCTCTCTCTCTCTCTCTTCCTCCCTTCTACTCTCTCTGAAAAAATAAATGGAAAAAGTATCCTTGGATGAGGATTAGCCCCCCAAAAAGGAGTGATTGATTCTCAGGAATAAGATTATGACAGAGGTGAGGGAGACTTCTGCTTTTGGCTTCATAAGTTCTCGTTGTATTTGAATATCTACAAGTCACACAAATTATAGTGATAATTTAACCGGAAAAAGTCTGTTCATTGGCATTAATGAGTCACACAAATCGCAGTGTTGATTTTTAACCCCCCAGATCTGTTCATGTGCATTAAGCGGCCTGACTTGTCTGCTGTTCTTGTTTTGTGAGTGGTTTTCTTCTGTTTTCTATTTCAGATTCTTGACGAATTCAAAAAAGATTCCTCCGTGTTCATCTTGGGGTGAGGCACCTCTGCTGGGTTACTATTGTTGGGGGTTGCTGGGCCAGTTATTGGTGCTCTGGGAGGGACACCTCTGTGGGTGGGCATTGGGGGGGGTCCTCCTATTGGGGGGTTGGCCATGCCGACCCTGTGGCATGGATGAACGTAACAATAGCAACAGAGTTTGTGGCATGTTGGGAGGGGGGCCCAGAAGGTTCTGTCGAGAAAGAAGCCTACATGCTCCCGGACCCCATTCCTGGAGTGTGCGTAGAACGAGACTGGCCAGTAGGTTTTTTCATACAAATCAAAACAATATTAGTGGACAAATGAATTTGGGAAATTCCTTGTTAAGCAGGTTTAACTGAGTTAAAGTGAGTCGAAATCTATGAAGTGCTTCGCATGGTGTGTGGCGAGGACTTGTATGTAGTAAGAATGATATTATGAAAAGCACTGCAGGACTTGTCAGGACCTTGACTGTGCTACCAATTCACGAAGTGTCCTGTGTTTCCCAAGCCTCTCTGCCTGGGAGAAAGGTTGTCCATGGAGTTAGTAGCTCCTCATTGATGTGGACACTCTGGCCATTATTCCCTCTGTCACTTTCTAAACCAGAAACCCCAAGACTTCGGAGTGTATAGAAACCCCGACTCTGATGTTTATATAGTATTTTAATGAAAAGATGAGTGAATTCATGAAAAGGTAGGAAGCTAACTTAGGAGGCTGGGTAGCACAGAAGGTTAGAAACACGTTCACAATGTGTTTCACAATGTGAAAGACAAGAGACTTTTGGGCCCTGAGTGTTTAGAAAGGGAGAAAGCTTGAAGTGTGTTTTCTCTCCTGTATGTTAAAAAGACCCCCCCCACTTGCGAGTGCCCAGGGACCAGTGCGGCCCCCCGGACAGCTCGGGTCTGCAGAACACCCTTCCACGGGAACCAGGCCACCTGTAGTCCCGTGAGGTCCCGCCTTTTTGATCGCCACGGACATCCCCCCCCCAAGGCCGTCTGTCGGCTGGCTGCGGGCCGAGGTGGAGTCTCCCTTTATTCAGGGTGAAGGGTCCCCTCGTCTCAAATGGAAATTCTCCCAGCAGCAGGCCACTGCTGGCCCCGTGGTGCAGGTCCTGCATGTCCCAGCTGATTCTCCCATCCACCCTGAGGCCGGGGGGCCTCGTCTGGCCTCCACTCTGGCCTCTGAGCCCTCGGGGGCTCAGCACACTCTGGACTCGGGCTTCTAAGGAGACACTTCGATGTGGCCCTGGTTACTCCCCCCGCTCCCCTAAGCGCTGTCCCCATCCAGCCGACCTGAGCGGTCGCTGCGCACGCACATGTCTGTTCCCCCCCCCCCCCGGCACCAGAGCCTCCCAGGAGCAGCTAAATGCAGGTTCCAGAGCCCACCCTCCAAGGTTTCCCTGTTCTCTGTGAATCGGTATAGGTCAGGGATGTCATCTCGGTCACTTGCGTCTCCCCGTCGACAGGCCTGTGCCTGGCACCCAGGAGGGCCTTGGCGGCAGGAACAGCCTCTTGAATGTTGACTGTGGAAGTGTGTCCCTCTCTAAACACTGTCTCTTTCCCCGAGGGCAGCAACACCGACCGGCCGGATGCCTCCGCTGTCCACCTGCACGACTTCCAGCGGTTTCTCTTACATGAACAGCAGGTGAGGGAGCGGAGGGCCGGGGGCGGAGCTGGGAGGAGCTTCCTGGGTGGTGTCTCCCCTTCTCGCCCCCGCCACCTGCCCGCACCTGGCCACCTGTAGTCCTGAAACAGTGATAGTCTCCCTGTCCAATGCCATTGTGCGGTCTTAGACTCTGCAATGAGAGCAGCCTCGTTTAGCTCCTGTTCAGGCGCACACTGAGGAGGGGCAAGGGCGGGGTGCTGCCGGGCAGGTGCGCCCTTACCTGGCCGGCTTCGGCTCCTCGGGCACAGCGGGTATCCCTGCCTCAGGACCGCCTCTGACTGATGGAGGGTGTGTCTGAGGCGGTGAGCCCGCCAGGTCCTCTGGGGGATATGTTAGAACAGTTTTCCTTAAACAAATGTCAGGTGGGACACCTCCTGGGGTGTTTATGTACAGGCTCCGAGAGGTGGCAGAGTCTCTGAGTTTTGTGCCCCTCCCAGGGCAACATCTGGAGACAGTTTTTTTTTTTTTTTAATTGATTTTTTTTTTTAGAGAGAGAGGAAGGGGACGAGAGAGAGAAACATCGTTGTGAGAGACAAACATCGATCAATTGCCTCCTGCACGCCCCTTACTGGGATTGAGCCTGCAACCCAGGCATGTACCCTGACCGGGAATCGAACCGGGACCTCTCAGTCCATGGGACAGTGCTCAGTCCACTGAGCCACACTGGCTGGGTGAGACAGTTTCGATAGCCACAACTTGGGGTACTAATGGTATGTAGGTAGAGACCAGAGATGCTGCCCAGCACCCTAAAATGCACAGGTCAGCCCTCCAGCAAGGAATTACCTGACCCCAAATGTTAATAGGGCTCAGCTGAGAAACTGTTAGCTTGAAATAAAGCTGAGATCTTCTTACTGTGTGACTAGTAGTTTGACCTTTCTGTACCACAGTTTTTAATTTTTATTTATTTATGTATTTAATTAATTTTTTTATCCTCACCCGAGGACTTTTTGTTTTTGTTTTTTTGCATTTATCTTCAGATAGAGCAGGAGAGAGAGAGGGAGGCAAGAGAGAGAGAGAGAGAAACATCGACGTGAGAGAGACACATCGAGTGGTTGCTACCCACACAACCCCAACCGGGGCCGGGGACAAACTGCAACCAAGGTACATGCCCTTAGCGGGAACTGAACCCAGGAGTCTCCGGTCCATGGGCCAATGCTCTAACCACTGAGCAAAACCAGCCAGGGCAATTTTTATTTTTTTTTAAATCCTCACCCAGGGATATTTTTCCATTTATCCTCAGATAGAGTGGGAAGGAAAGAGAGAGAGAAACACCTATGTGAGAGAGACATCAATTTGTTGCCTCCCACAGGACCCTGACCAGGGCCAGGGACAAACCGCAACCAAGATACATGCCCCTGACCAGAATCGAACCCAAGACTCTTTGGTCCATGAGCCAAAGCTCCAACCTTTGAGCCAAACTGGCCAGGGCAGTACCCCAGTTGTTTTAAATAGGGATGAGAACCCTGCCACCTCTCAGAATCGTGGGGGTCAGAGAAGATTGTATTGATCTTTGTGTATCGGTATATGTGTCTACATGCGTAATCCCGTATCTATTTCAATGTTGCGTTTCTATCACGGGAGTCTCATTTACATTTTCTCTATATAATTTTTTGTTTTTTAACAGACTATATTTTTAGAGCAGTTTTAGGTTCATAACAGTATTCAGTTCATTTATATTTTAGAAAATCTTTGTATTGCAAATGTTTGAAACATGCACAGAAAAGCCAGCTGGTGTAGAACCACACATACCCATCACTTTGACTGAAACACTGAGAACCTTTGCCAGTGTTGTCATGTCTATGCTTCACCTCACGCCCCTGTGTCTCCCCTCCCTTTGCCCCTTCTCCATTTCTTGGCTGGAAAATTCCAAAGTAAACCACAGTCTATCATTCAGGCAGTGTGTCATTTCATTTGTTGTTTTTTTTTTTAAATCTTCACCCGAGGATATTTTTCTCTTTATTTTCAGATAGAGGGGGAGGGAGAAAGAGAGAAACATTGATGTGAGAGAGACACATCGACTGGTTGCCTCCCGCACAACCCAGACCAGAGCCAGAAACAAACCGCAACTGAGGTACGTGCCCTTGGCCGGAATCAAACCTGCATCTCATTGGTCCACGGCCGATGCTCGACCACTGAGCAGAACCAGCCAGGGCTGGCATTTCATTTGTAAATAGTCAGCATGTCTCTCTTAGGAAATGGACTTCTTAAAAAACAAGACAAACACGTGACCGTAACACTTCTATTATACCTTGCACACCCGACACCAGTTTCTTTGTCATCCAGTACACAGCCCGTGTTCAGATTTCTTTGGAGTGAAAACAATGAACAGACACATACTCTGTGTGCGGCAGCCTCATGGAGGGCCCGGGCAGTGGTGGTAGCTACTGTAACATGATGGATGGTGACAGAGGACATTGAGGTGTCATGCTTTCCCCATGTGGGGGTTGAGAGTCATCCAGAGAAGGCCTGTGTGCTCAGCCTGAGCTGCCACCAAGGGGAAGCAGCGAAGGGGGTCAGTGAGGTCTGTTTGGTACAACTGCGTGTGCTGAGCTGCCCGTGCGTGAAGCAGAGAGAGGAGTGTGGCTTCTTCTTTTTTAACATGCTCAGTCCTTGCACTGAATTCCTCGCTGGGGGGCTATTGAACTGTTAAACCAAATACACGCACGCGCGCACACACACACACACACACACAACCAAAAGCTTTTCCGAAAGAAAGGGTTCATTGAGCCAAACGCTGGCCAGAAAAGGACCATGCGGTCTGCATCGCCAACAGCAGGGCTCAGGGAGACCAGCATTTGCTGTCCTGGAGCTGAGGGTTCTTTTATGAAAACAGCATGGGGAAGAAGTGATTCACATCGGGGCTAGATGAAGGGGTGGGAGAAGGGGAGGCGGGGCTAGTTCTGGATGGGGCAGAGCCGAAGGAAGCCGTGAGTGCTCCTTTGGATTGGTGGTGGGAGGCAGCCCGGAGGGCTCATTTGTAAGCAGGAAGCCGAGGCGCCCGGTGGTCGGTGGCACCTGGCTGTCCTCTGGATAATTGTGGAAATAGCCACCTGGAGGTTCAGTCGGGGTGTCAGCAGCCGCTCAGGAGTGCAGGCAGCCTTTCGGTGGTTCTGCCCTGCAGTTGACGGAGGAACCTCTCTCGTGCCTGCCCTCCCCCTCCGGTCTGCTGTAATTTAATTTAGACATCTCAGGATTTCCTCCTTGTCAGCAGTTACACGGCTAAGCTCCTGGGGACAAGTAGCCTTTCATCCCACAAGTCACCACCTAGTGCAGCTTAATTTTATTACAGGGGAGAGTGACAGGCTCCCTGCCCGCCCCTTCGCTGGGCTGCACATAGAGATCAGAGATGGGCCAGCAGCAAGTGCAGGAACTCTCCCCGTGCAAGACAGCCCGCGAGCACCCGTGCGAGAGCGACAGGAGCGGCAGACGTGATGTCAGATGGGGACCCCGCCCTGGCCAGTTTGGCTCAGCAGTTGGAGTGTCGGCCTATGGACCAGAGAGTCCCAGGTTCGGTTCTTGCTAAGGGCACGTACCAAAAAAAAAAAAAAGAGAGATGGGGACCCTGAGCCACCAGCCTGGCTGACCCTCAATGCCCCATGTGCCTGGTGCTCTGTGGGGTGACGGCATGAAGCAGAGTTGGTCATCTGGCACATTTGTTTGCTGCGATGGATGCTCAGATGTGGAATAGTCCCTGTAGCACCCGGTGTGCAAATTAGCACAAGTTTTCTAGAAAGCACTTTGACAATATGCAATTAAAATGAAAACTTTGACGGAAAAAAAAAGCTAATATACTTTGATTAAATAATTCCCTCCTAGGGACTTATCCTAAAGCAGTAATGGCAGCATTTTCAGTAGAAATGAAAACTTGGAACTAATCTAAATTTCCATTAGGGGACTGGTTCAGTATGCTCCAGGCCAGCCTGGGAGGGGTGGGTCACACTACAGAAAGGGGTTAAGATGAAGACCCCAAAACATTGATGTGAGAGGGGCACATCGACTGGTTGCCTCCCACACGACCCTGACCAGGGCCAAGGACTGAACCACAACTGAGGTACGTGCCCTTGACTGGAATCGAACCCGCGACTCACTGGTCCACAGGCTGACGCTCTAACCACTGAGCACCCGGCCAGGGCCCTTCACCGTTATTCTTATTTTCATTACTATAGATACCTAACACAATACCCATACCAAGTAGATTCATTTTTTAACCCGCAGACTGTTTGTATTTTAAACTCCTTTGGGCAGAAGATTTCTTATTGGCAGGCGTCAAGTTCCAGGTTGTATCTGCTAGGTACCCATGCTTTTTATGAGAAAGCTTTGTGGAAAGAGGGGGGATATTCTGGCCTTTTGGGAACCTCCAAGGCTGGGAAGGCTTTGCATAAAGTATCCTACAATTTGAGTTTCATGTTCTAGTATTCAAAGATTTTAACACCTCTGTATTCAAATGAACTGGCTGGTCCCCTGTCTCCTAGCTGTTTTGTGTCCCTTATTGGAGTCGATTTGCAAGAATCAACAGCAAGGCTGGTTGATGATGTGTACCCACACGCCAGGGAGGCCCTTTCTCCACCGCCTCATTTGTGTCTGTCCTTCAGGTCGTCTTTTTTTCCCCCATACATCCTGGTCTGACCCTTCCCACCCAACCACACACACCTGATAGCACATTTGCTTTTATTTTCTTAAAGATAGAGGCTTTAGCATATTTGGAACCCAGGAAACATTAGTCAAAGGTGAGTCTGTGGGTCTTGTTTCCTCCCTTTGCCTGATGAATACTTGGGGTTTTAGGGTTTGGAGAGGAAAACAATAAAGTTACTTTATATTCGCTGTCCCAGAAACTCTGTGCGTGGATGTTATCACTCCCGTGTAGTGGATGAGGAGGCACAGAGAGGGTATGTGACTTGCCCAAGGTCAGCCAGGCAAGTCACCCCCATGGTCTGACTGACATAACTCTTTTTGGTGATTTCTTGTTTTCTTTGTCATTCTAAGGAACTTTGGGCTCAGGATCTGAACAAAGTCCGTGAGAGGATGACAAAGTTTATCGACGACACGATGAGGGAAACCACGGAGCCCTTCTTGTTTGTTGATGAGGTGGGTGGTCTCCTTGTGAGCTGTTCATCAAGGGCTGGTTTTCTTCCAGTCTCTCCTATTATTCGTCCTTGTCTATTGACCTTGTTTCCTGGGTGCGTTTCTTGCTATTGCCACTAGAAGGTGTCTGCTGCCCGGGAGTGCACTGTAAGCACACCATATTCAGAGGTTTTGGGGTTCCTGTGAGCTGCTGAAAGGGTTGCAGCCGGGGAGGTAAGGCTGAGGGAGAGACTGTCCCCTGTAAAGTTGTTCCCAGGAAGCAGAGTGTTACCCCAGTGTCACTCAAGCTTCTGATTTATTCTGATCAAGAATTGGGATATGACATTTCCTGCCTTTTAAATGTTGTGATACTGTTAATGTTTTGTTAATCAAGTGGGTGGGTTCACAAATGTTTATTATTATTATCCCTTGAAACTTACTATGTATGAGAAGCATACTTTTTTTTTTATCCTCGCCCAAGGACATTTTTGCATTTATCTTCAGATAGAGTGGGGAGGGAAAAGGGGGGAAGAGAGAGAGAGAGAGAGAGAGACAAACATCCATGTGAGAGAGACACATTGACTGGTTTCCACCCACATGACCCCAACTGGGGCTGGGGACAAACTGCAACTGAGGTATGTGCCCTTCACAGGAACCAAACCTGGGACTCTCTGGTCTGTGGGCTGACACTCTAACCACTGAGCCAAACTGGCCAGGGCCATACATTCTTTTTTTTTTTTGTACAGATAGAGTAGGAGGGAGAGAGAGGAAGAGAGAGAGAGAGAGAGAAACATCGAAGTGAAGGGACACATCGAATGGCTGCCACCCGCACAGCCAACCAGGGCCGGGGACAAACTGCAACCGAAGTACGTGCCCTTAGGAGGAATCGAACCCGGGTCTCTCTGGACCGTAGGCCGACGCTCTAACTGCTGAGCCAAACTGGCCAGGACCATACATTCTTGAGTTACAAATATTTTAGGGTACACATGAAAAGGAAAACATTGTACAGGTCAGCAACACACGTGTCAGTACAGCCTGTTGCTGTCTGATTCTGCGTGGAACTGGGTCAGGGAGGCCTGGCGCCCACCTGGGGAGTTAACGTACCAGAGCCCTGCGCTGGCCCAGGCCAGAAAGAACCAGATCCCCACCCTTATCTTCATCGCGATGTCGTCTTTGTGTTTGTGACCCCTCTTAGTTCCTCACGTACCTGTTTTCACGGGAGAACAGCATTTGGGATGAGAAGTATGATGTGGTGGACATGCAGGACATGAACAACCCCTTGTCCCATTACTGGATCTCCTCGTCACATAACACGTGAGTTCTGCCGCCAGCTGGAGGGGGTCACGGAGGAAGGGCGTTTGGGGGCGTTCCAGCATGCTGCTTTGGCCAAGCGTGTGGGACACGGGCAGAGTGCAGGGCCATGCTTCTCAGACTGGAACATACAGACGCTTCTGGAAGGGGCGGGGGAATGCACGTCTCTTTCCCAGGGGGCATTGCAAGGCCCATCCTTTCTCTGTGGCCCTAAAAAGCCAATCAGCAAAGCTGGGTTTCATGGTTCGGGCCTCTCCTAGTAGCCACAGCAAAGCAATTGAATTAGTCATTGAACTGATATTGCTGTCTGCCCTGTGCTTGCTGGGTACTGGGGCTATGTAGCAGTGAGCAGGGCAGGACAGAACAGCACTGTTGTCATGTGGTTGGAGGGAAAACGACCTCCTTTGAATCTTCACAAAGGACAGAAGTTGGTGAGAGGAGAACAGATGGTGAGGTGAGGACGAGGATTTTAGGCGGAGGAACAGCCTGTGCAAAGGTCCAGGGGCAGGAGGAACTGAGAGGGTCTGTTAAGACTAGACTGTAGAATCCAGGGTGTGGGGTGAGCAGCAGCAGAGGAGGCCGGCAGGGTCAGCTTGAGTGGAATCTTTAAGTGACAGCAGGGGCAGTGGGAGCCACTGATGACTTTTAAACCAGAGAGCAACACACTCAACTATACATCTTTGGAAGATTACCGTGATTTCGTAAAAGAGAATAGACTGGAAGAGAGAAATGATGTTGCACTTAAGTTTCAGTGTTTAGTCTGCCTTATAATGTGCGAGTGTGAAGGTCTTGGATCATGGGCACCCAGACAGCTGTAGATTAGTGGTTTCCCAAGGGTCATTCCAGACAGGAGTTGGTGAGAAGCCCTTCCGCTTCTCTCCAGGCATTTAGAAGGGCACGTCTTGTTCAAGGGCAAATTGAGTTCATGGTTCTCTCTTCCCCACCATGGCTATTGGTTTAAGAGTCGTGTCTTAGAATGGTGAATTCTACCAAACCCAGAAGACATTGGAGGAACATAAACTCTTCAGAAGGGGAACACAGTGAGGAGGAGAGTGTATAAAAATACGTGTTTTCACCTGCTGGACATAGTTCGTAGCACAGAAAGTTTCACCCGTAGTAGTGGACCACTGATTCAGTGCCTGGCTCCCCGATATTAAAAGGATGGCCCCTTTCTGCTTCGTTTACACGGAAGGCCAGAGGGCAGCCAAAGGAGGGTTGTTAATTTATCATCCGCCGTTAATCTCACTTAGGACATCCTTTGACCTAGTTCTCAAAAAAATACCCGGTCTTGACCCTGCACTTGGATTTGCAGGGTGGTTCTTGTTCACATCCTGTGATCGGTGCCTGAGTCTGAGGTGTGGCCACACGATGCAAGTGTCTGGCCCGGATCCTAACCGTGGGTCTTTCTAGACAGGAGGAACTCAGGCCTTTGGGAGCTTGCTGAGAAGTTCCCCAAGGACACCCTGAGGTGCAGGCCCGCCTCCTCTCCTTCAGGTACCTCACAGGTGACCAGCTGCGGAGTGAGTCGTCCCCAGAGGCGTACATCCGCTGTCTGCGCATGGGCTGTCGCTGCATTGAGTGTGAGTAGCCTTTTGCTGGTGGAGATAACACCTACGGCAAAGTGGGGCTAATTGTCACTGCCCAGTCCTCAGCTCACGGTTGGCGCCCCCTGTAGGCCAAGAGCACACGTCACTCTAGTTCCAGAGCCTGGAGGAGGCTGGTGCTGGGAAACCAGGTGACTGTTCAGTGACCTCTGCTCCCCCTTACTGAGCCCGCCTGCCCCTCGGCTGGGCAGGCAGAGATGGGGTCCCCAGCGGCTCTGCCAGGCAGGCATAGACAGAGTACAGAGTGCCTGCCCCCTTGCTGAACTGGCCAGCCCCCGCCACCTGCGCTTGATGCTGCTTTTGTTTTAAAGCTGAATAGTGGTGATGGGGACAGGCCAAGGGAACAAGCAGGTGCTCATAGCAGCTGTGGTAAGGGACGTGGCCATCAATGGCAGGGATCCTTCCCCAGAAGAAAGTTGTCCTCAACACAAGGCACGGTGTTGAGCCTGGTCAGGTTGGAGCCACAGGCCCATCTAGAAAGTGTCTGGATACAGTGGAAGGCCGGGGAGGCCAGTCGCAAAGATGGCTTTGCTAATCTGTCCTCCCTCGGTGTCCTTCAGGGCTTTTTTTTTTTTTGGAAGAAGGCAGATAAATGCCTTCAGGTTTTAGCAGCTGGCCCAGCATGCATGTCATCCTGACCGTTTTTGTCATGGTTGCTCACAGACACCGCAATACAGGTGATTCCTGGCACCTGTACGCGCCCAGGACCCAGCTGCTGCCTCCTGTCTCCTCACCTGTCATTCCTGGCCTGCCCACCAGAGGGCCGTAGGTGTATTAGGCTGAGCACAGGCACAAACCGCTGATTTAGGCTCCAGTTAGAAGATTCATCTTGGCATCACACTCCACCGGCAGTTATTCCGACAGAGTGTTGCCTAGTGTATCCCTTTTTCCCTCTTGGGAAAGAGCCAATGTGAAAAAATTAAGTTGGAAACTGTCAGCTCCTGTTACATCTGGGGGATGAAGATACAGGGATGTTCACCGTCTCCATAATGTGGTTCTGTTTGAGTATTTCACTAGGAACCTTTAAGAAGAAATCGTCACATTGCTGTGTATTGTTTCCACTAGCAAAAACAGCAAGCCAAGGTTTAGACACGCGGAATCAGAAAACGAAACCCAACGTAGATACTGCTTTAGAAGAGAAACATTTAAAATAGCTTCTTTCGGACAAATGCGTTACATTACAAAAGGAGCTTTAATTAACCCAAAGCCTCTCTTAGCTGCGTGGGTGACACGCATACAGGTGACAGCTGTCCTCACGTTGGTGGCCCCAGGGTGTAATGTATCAGGTTTGTTCCCCACATTCTGGTCACAGCAGGCGTGGGGGTCGGGGCCGATCTCGTGGCTGGCCGGGCACGTGCCCGCCAGCAGTGGACTCGGGGTGGCGAGTGTCGGGCAGGTGGTGAGGCGGCCCTTCCCCCCTCAGTGGACTGCTGGGACGGGCCCGACGGGAAGCCCATCATCTACCACGGCTGGACGCGGACCACCAAGATCAAGTTTGACGACGTCGTGCAGGCCATCAAAGACCACGCCTTTGTTACCTCGAGGTCAGTTGCCTGATTTCCAGGTGCTCACCTTTAAGCAGCTAAGATCGAGTGGACAGACAGATGCCCACCCCTCCCTCCGCCCCCACAGAGACACACACTCAGACACACTCACACCAGCCTGGGCTCCATCGTGACCAAAGTCACTGCCAAGTCCTCGGCTGAGTGAAGATGCCTCCCACAGGCCAAGAGCTCAAGTCACCCCCTGGGTGCAGGGCTGCAGGAGGCTGGCTCTGGGACACCAGGTGGCTGAACGTGGCCTCTCCTCCCCCTCACTGAGCCTGCCTGTCCCTCCGCTGGGCAGTGGGTTGGGGTCCCCAGCCGCTCGGCCAGGCAGGCACAGACAGATGCCTGCCCACGCTGAGCCGGCCCTGCTGCCTGCAGCTTCCCCGTGATCCTGTCCATCGAGGAGCACTGTGGCGTGGAGCAGCAGCGCTACATGGCCAGAGTGTTCAAGGAGGTGTTCGGCGACTTGCTGCTGACGAAGCCCACGGAGGCCAGTGCCGACCAGCTGCCCTCACCCAGCCAGCTTCGGGAGAAGATCATCATCAAGGTGGGTGGCCTCGGGCTGCTGTCATTCATTCGGGAGAGCCAGAGGCTTGGGGCGCAGGCTCCAGACCCCACTGCCCTGGCTCACACCTCTTTCCTTACTCGTCCATGACCCTGAGCAAGGTCATTTAGCTTCTTGGTGCCTCTAGACCTCTAGACCTGGGATGGGGTGGGATGATCGTCAGAGCCACCGGGTTGGTGTGCTGCGTGAGCATAATGTGAAGGAAGGCCTGCTCATGCCGAGGACTTCACCTGTGCCTTGCAGGTGCTCCGTGAACACGGATGTGTGCATCCCTCCTCTTGGCAAGCCTCCACCACGCCCCTCTCTGAGTCGCATGCGAGGTGCGAGGGGTGTTCTTGACTCAGGCACTGTTCTTGCCCTCGGGAGCTTCCAGTCTCGTGTGGGAGACGGACTGGAGGTGGACAGTTGCCCAGAAAGGCTGTGTGTGCCAAATGCGCTCATGAGTGCTGGCTGTGCCCAGGAGAGCCAGGGATGCCCCGGGCGGGGTGCCATTTGGGTATCTGTGTTGCTAGGATAGAGAGACCAGGTGTACAGTGGCTTACAGCACATAAGAGTTAATTTCTTCCTCATCTCAGGGGGAGTGTTCTAGAAGCTCTGAGCTCTGGCCCAGGGTCCTGTTCTACAGTCTCCCAGGGAAGGGGTTTTCAACTGAGGTTCCGCAGACCTCCAGAGAATCCACAGATAGAATTCAGGAGGGTTGGCGTGAACTTTTGGGGAAAATGTTGCCTCTTTATTTGTATTAACCTATAAGTAAAACCGAACATTTCCTTTCATTATAAATATTGACACCAAGCCAGTTGGGGCCTTGCCACCAGCAGAAATCATGGATATTTGGATATTTTCACATCACATTGACAGTTACTGCAAATATCTCAGAATGCTGTGGTGCTCATCACCACTTTGAAATTATGGTGCTTATTAGATCTGCCTCTGGATCGTAGGTGAGCTACTCATAAAGAAAGCACACCTTCAGTACATTGCAAATGCTGTCATTTAATATCCTAATAATTGCGTCTCACTGTAATTGGTTTCTCTTACAATCGTATGCGTTGTGAACATTATCCTGAGAAAGGCGTCCTCAGTCTTTCCCAGACTTCAGCGGGGGTCCGTGGCACAGAGGGGAGGCCGTGCCCGAGGCCCGTCCTGGTGTGTGGCAGAGCAGCCCCTAGGAAGGGAAATGGGAAGGGCTCTGGGGCCAGCGGTTTCTGTGGATGTCAGTTGTACACGTCCCGGCCTGTCCTGTTCGGTGCGCAAGAACTTAGTCACATGACCACACCACCTGCCAGGGAGCCTGGCAAGTGCAGCCTCTGATTGGGCACCCGTTAGTGGGCGGGGCAAGATGGAGTTCATTGACAGCTGGCAGGTTGATACAGAAGGATGTCTAGGTGCTTACGAGGCAGATTTTGTCACTGCGTCACCAAGATACACTGGGAACAACCCCTGTGTACCAGGAGGTCGCAGTCTACGGGGCACACCAACCCATCCACAAATAGCACCCAACAGTACGAGGCGGCATTGGTGCCAGCATATGTGGCTGGGATCCCGGGGTGGTTCTCTGAGACACGGAGGGGGCACGGAGAGGACAAGAGCTGGGGGATCTCAGCTAGGGAGGGCCCACAGCCTCTCGGGCATCTGGTCAGCGAGTCTCCAGGGGACCTCGCTGCATCTCTCCGTTCCCACTTGTCATTTCCTTCCGTTTCTGTTAGGACAGCTCTCTGTTTTAGGCTGTGAAGGTCCCCTTCGGAGCACGCATTGCCCCACCCGTGGTACTTCCTGGCCCGCCCCTTCCCATTTCAGGGAAAGGGGTGGAAATGGCATTTGTGACACAATCAGTGTGTGATGTTTCGTCCACCCCCCACCCCTGGCTCTGTCCCCAGCTTTCCTGCCTTCTCCCCTCAGGCTGCTGGCCGTCTCTGGCACTGTTTCTTGAGTGTAGCTCCCAGGGCGTTGTGCCACACACTGGTACGGGCTGGGCATGGTCGTAAGTATTTTCTTATTCTATCTCACAATAGCCCTGTGAGACTTACCCAGGCCCCAGCCCACTCTGCAGATGTGACACTGAGGTCTGGAGGTTAAGTGGCTCAGCTGAGGTTACACGGTTCCTGCCAGAGAAATAATTCAAGGCTGTTCAAAACAGAACAGTTCTCTCACGCTTTGCTGTTTGCGGGTATCCGACACGGCCCTTGGCTTACCTGCAGGGGTGTCATTCTTGTCACGTGGCCAGGGTCACACAGCTAGTAAGGTGAGAGGCCTTGAACTCAAACCCAGTCCAGCACTCTCCTCACCGGGTCACCACCACCTGGGATTTACAAGTGCTTGTCTAGGTGGGTGGTCAGGACTCACCCAGGCGAGTGCGTGGTTGTCGTCGTGTTAGTCTTACGGATGAGAAGCGTGAGGCTCAGAGAAGTGTGGCCGCCTGCCTGGGTCACACAGCTGAGATTCGCAGCAGTGCTGCTGTCCCAGGCCTCCCCCTCCCTGCACACGTGTGCCCCTGGCCCGGCTGCCACCCCGCCTTTCCCCGTGTGCCGGGCACGCGGCTGGTATCATCGATTCACTGAATGTCGATCACGCGCTTACTCTCTGCTGAACTGACACAGGAGATTCAACAGGGAACGAAACCAAGTCCCAGGGAGCTTTTAACCTTTCTTAAAGGGCCATTTGAATGATCCTCATGGGACTTATATTCTGGCAGAGAAGATAAAAAACAAACAGATACTTAGAAACGCATAGGACTAAGTACGAAAAATAGCTACCAGGGGCTGGAGAGTGAAGGGAAGGGGAGTGGAGGCTATTTTTAGATCAAGTGGTGGAGGAGAGCTCTTCTGAGGAGGTGACACTGAGCACAGAGCTGAACATAGAGAGGAGCCAGGCAGCAAGGACAGACAGTGCAAAGGCCCTGAGGTGCATTGTGGATGGACGCTTGCTGGCTCAAACATCCTAAACCTGGGTCTTGAGGGGAAACAGACGAGCTGTGTTTTCCCCCTCAGCATAAGAAGCTGGGCCCCCAAGGCGACGTGGATGTCAACATGGAGGACAAGAAGGATGAGCACAAGCAGCAGGGTGAACTGTACATGTGGGATCCCATTGACCTGGTGAGTGTTTTGCACACCTTCTCAGAGCCTTGAATGTATCAGGCCTGCTGGAGGGCTCTGAAAATAAATATTCCTGTATTACTTTCATTTTGACCCCAGCGAATTTATCATTATAATAGAACTTTATTTTTCTCTTATATTTTTAAAGTTTTATTTTGAAATAGTTTTGTATTCAGTATAGCATACTATATATTTATACCCACACATATATAGACTATACCCTTCACCTAGATTCTCCAAACAGTAACACCCTACATAATCAGGGCACAATTATTGTAACCAGGAAGTTAACATTGGCACAATACTAATTTATGGGCCTTACTGCTGTATCACCAACATGTCCACTGATGTCCTTTTTCTGGTCCAAGGACCAGGTCAGGATGCAGCAAGGCATTTAGCTGTCTTAACTTCTTGGTATCTTCCAGTCTGAGACAGTTCCCCTGGCAACCTTGTTTTTTGATGAGAATAAGGCTTTTTGGGCGCTAACACTACTTCTCATATCCCTTCACCTAACATTCACATCCATTTGAGTATAATTTTATGTGTCCATTCTTATATCATAGAAATAAACATTAAAAATGGTTAAAATTTATTTATTAAAATTTTTTTTCCCTTTATTGATTTTAGAGAGAGAGGAGGGGAGAGGGAGAGAGAGAGAAACATCAATGATAGAGAACATCGATTGGCCGCCTCCTGCACACCCCCCACTGGGGATTGGGCCCACAACCTGGGCATGTGCCCTGACCGGGAATCAAACCAGCAACCTCTTGGTGCATGGGTCAATGCTCAACCACTGAGCCACACTGGCTGGGCAAAAAATGGTTAAAATTTAGTTAAAGAAGTTACCAATGTTGAAGAAAGGGTCTTTAAACAAAATGGCTGAGAAATCCTGTAAGTCTTAAAAAGTGAATGAGATAGAAATAGATCCTCATGAGGGCATAAAAAACAATCTCCTCATCATTCATAAAGGTTTCAAATTAAATATGAAACAGAAATTTGATATTAAGTCATATCTACCCTTGGACACACTGAATAAAACAGTTCTGAAAATGCCAAAAGAAACCCCAAATAAGTAGATGTTTTAACAGAAATGTCTCGAAAGGGGATCGAATTCCGTGAAAGGACCATGAACGTCTATGAAAATGGGAAAGGTCAGCCTCCAGGGGGTGCTGGGGTCATGATGCCAGGCAGGGGCTTCGGTCTCCAGAGTCAACATGGTAGAGACTTTGGGGATACGTTAATGCTGATTTCACTCTCTAGAAATGGACTCGGCACTATTGTGCCATCGCCGACGCCAAGCTGTCCTTCAGCGACGACATTGAGCAGACCGCGGAAGAGGAGCTGCCCCAGGTAGGTGGAGACCTCTTAGACGGCTCCTGTCATCCTGTGGCCAGCAGGCCTGGGCATCCTCAGCCCAAGAGCTGGCTGCCTCTTTGAGTACCAAGGCCTCCCTGGCTCTTCTCTGATTGGCTAGCTGGCCCAGGGGCTTAGCCAATGAGGTTCGAGGGTCTTTCCTGCTCTTTGAAGGGCCTGATTGATATGTGCTCCCTTGGGGGAATGGAGGCATTTGGATATTTCGTCCAGTCCCACCCCTGGCTCTGTCCCCTCAGGCTGGTGACCATCTTTGGAACTGTTTATTGAGTGTATAGCTCCCAGGGCATTATGCCTGTCAGACTTCCTTTGCGATGGAGTGAGGGCTGTGCTGGGGACCCCTTCCCCTTGTCTCAGGACTCCAGGAGGCTACCGCAGGTGGGGGCTGTCTGGAGTGGGTTGGCAGGCAGGGGAGGGCAGTAGACATGTCTTCCCAGACCTCTTGGGGTGAGGGCCAGCTGAGACCAGCCTCTATCAGTTTCTAGTCCTCTGAGTCGGCCGTGAAGAGAGAGCAGTCTGGTGGTGCCGGGGGTCTGGTCCGGGTTTTCAGAAAGCCCTGTTCTCTCTGTGGTCCAGGACACGCCCCCCACAGAGCTGCATTTTGGAGAGAAGTGGTTCCACAAGAAGGTGGAGAAGAGGACGAGTGCCGAGAAGCTGTTGCAGGAATACTGCTCTGAGACCGGGGGCAAGGACGGGACCTTCTTGGTGCGGGAGAGCGAGACTTTCCCCAACGACTACACCCTGTCCTTCTGGTAATGGCCCTCTGCCCGGGGCAGGTCTGCCTCTCACAGCTGGTCAGGTGGGAGGCTGGGGGCCTGGGCTCGAACCCAGACTTCATTTAGTGAGCTGTGTGGGGCAGGACTTGGGTGAGGCTCAAAACACTCAGTCATCAAGATTAGTGGTATTTCAGTGCAATCTTAAAAAAAGTCAGAAGTAATGCAAAAAATATATATATATGGTGACCAAAATATCAACGTTTTTAATATAGACAGGGTCTAACTCTGCACTTAAGACAAGGTGACCTCATTCACCTTCCCCTAATCCCAGCCCTGGAACAGGTGAGAATTCTCTCAACCTCCTGGGTTTTCCCTCTCCTTGTCTCTGACATAGAGGTTCTAAAAGCAGGCTTATGAGTTGTCACGAGCTTTCCCATTCATTCACTCATTCACTCACTCACTCACTCACTCACTCAGCTGCGCCTCATTTATTAAAAGATATTTGTCGAGTGTTTGCTCAGTGGTAGGCACTGTGACTTAGCAGGGATCAGACGGTCTCTGTCCTGATGGAGATTAGTCGGGTGGGGAAGATGGACAATGAAAAGTAATCATGTAAATGACACGTAATGGTCATGGTGGTGAATGCAATGAGAACAATGCAGGACGTTAGGGGAGCTGACGTAATGTTGGGGGGCGGGGGTGGTCAGGGAAGACTTCCTGAAAGACGTGTTCGAATTGAGACCCGAAGGATGAACATTGTAACAACGTACAAATGGTCCTGGTAGCTCCCACCTTCCCACCATGTGCCAGGCAGCGTTCAGGCACATTTTGTGTGGGATCTTGTTGGATCCTCAGGACAGCTCTAAGAGGCAGACAGATACTGTTCTCACCCTTGTTTGACCACTGAGCTAATGATACAGAAGCTCGGAGGGGACAGGTCATGTGGCAGAGTCGGGATTTGAACCCAGGTCATCTGGCTCCAGAGTAGGAGTTACGTAGGTAGACGTGGGCAGTGGGTGGAGGAGGGAGGTGGAATGCTCTGGAATCCAGAAAAGGACCAGCCTGTGCTAAAGCCTGGGGGCTGTCGTAGGAGCAGAGGGAGGCCTGTGTGGCAGCACCTAGTGCCCGGCTCTCGGGGTCCCCGGCCTGCGCTGTCTAACACCCAGGGTGCAGGAAGGCTGGCCGGCCTGGCCGGGGCACTGATGTTGCCCTTCTGCCCGCAGGCGGTCCGGCCGGGTCCAGCACTGTCGGATCCGTTCCACCATGGAGGGCGGGACCATGAAGTACTACCTGACTGACAACCTCATGTTCACCAGCATCTACGCTCTCATCCAGCACTACCGTGAGACGCACCTGCGCTGCGCCGAGTTCGAGCTCCGGCTCACTGACCCCGTGCCCAACCCCAACCCCCACGAATCAAAGCCGTACGTGAGCCTGAGCTCTCGGGGGGTGGCACGTCCATGGGGTGAGCGGGGTGCAGACGCCCCTGCAGATTGTGTTCACCTGTCAGAAAAGCCAGCCTGGTGGGTGTGCTGATGCCCAGATTCCTCTGGGGTCTCTTCAAGTTCCCAAAGAGGCCACGGTTTCCAAATAACTCCTCCCCCTCCCTTTGGCCCCATTTCTTTCTTCTTCCTTCCTTCTACTTCATCGTCCTGGATCCCTGGGAGGTTAATTTTGGCTGGTGATGCCTTTCTATTGGCCAAAGATCATTGCTGTCTTTTGAAAGCAAACAAGGAAAAGATGATGGTGGAGGTTCCCCCATCACGTCTCGCCCGGTGCAGTGAGCATCGGGTGTACCTTGCAAAGGGTCAGCCAGTTCTGGAAACAGTCTTTCAGCAGGAGACTGGGCAGGTGCACATTCCTGGGAAAGCCGAGGAGCTCAGCAGCTCATTCCACTCCTGTCTGTATTCACATGCCTTGCCTTTCAAATGTGCTCTTTGGCCCTGGCCGGACTGGCTCAGCGGTTAGAGCATCAGTCTGCGGACCAAAGAGTGGTGGGTTCGATTCCATCAAGCGCACGTACCTCGGTTGTGGTTCAGTCCCAGGCCCTGGTTGGGGTCGTGTAGGAGGCAGCCACTCAATGTGTCTCTCTCACTTTGCTGTTTCTTTCTCTCTCCCTCCGCTCCCTCCCAATCTCCCCCCCTCCCTCTCCTTCCCTCCCTCCCCCACCCTCCCTCCCTATCTGAAAATAGATGGAAAAATATCTTCGGGTGAGGATTAAAAAAATGAAATAAAATAAAATGTGCTATTTCACCTCTTTAAAAGTAATCAAAGACCAGCTACACAAAGAAACCAGTCTAAAATGCTAATCCTGGTATTCTTTGCCTTCGATTATCCCGGCAGCCTTGGATACTGGCCTTTCAGGGTTAGGCAGGTGGGGGTAACGACTGCTTGACCTATTCTCTTGGGTTTCAAACGGCCCCGCTGCACGAACGTTGCACCCGCGTGACGTCGTGGTGGTCGTTTGAGAACTGCCGTCTTCAGAGGCGTTTTGGACGGGAGGCCCACGGATCTATCTCCCCAGCGGTTTCTGGGGCCCTATTTCAGGCATCCCCAAGCCCATTGGTTCCCCCCCTCACGGGCCGGTTTCCCAACCCCGTGCTGCAGGTGGTACTACGACGGGCTGAGCCGCGGAGAAGCGGAGGACATGCTGATGAGGGTTCCCCGGGACGGCGCCTTCCTCATCCGGAAGCGGGAGGGTAGCGACTCCTACGCCATCACCTTCAGGTAAGCTGTGCGTGCCCTCTGGAGGCGGCGTAGGGAGGCCAGGTGTGGAGAACAAGGGGGAACGGCAGCCGGACGTTTAGCTCAGTGTTCTCTCCCTGCAGGGCCAACGATAATGATGGCAATAAGATAACGAAAGCAGCCTGCATTAATATGTGCTGGCCCTGTGCTGGGCCTGGTCTGTATGCTTAACAGTCTATGACCAGGAGGAACGGAGGCACAGAGAGGTTAAGGAACGTGCTGAAACGCGCAGCCAGTACGTAGCGGGGCTGGGCTGGGAGCCTGGGCATGTCCGGCAGCCCAGAGCAGTGACGCTGTAGATCTGATGTCCTCCCGGTTCCCTGCTGGTGGGGAGCCGCTTAGATCAACCATCTCTAGGACTGGGATTGTCCCCCCTAATTCCACCCCATGGCACCTGAGTCCTCCAGTCTCCACCAGTGACAGTGCTGGCGGCGGGGTTCAGACCCAGGTCATCACACGGTCCCTCTGTGCTCCCAGCCCCAGCGGGCTCTCGCTGATGCGAACAGAAGGCCGGCCACTGTAGGAGTTCCTGGCCGATGTCCCAGACACTGGGCCGTCTTGGAGGCTTCATCTGGTTCAGTCCTTCATTGTAGCGACGAGGGGTAGATCTGGTTGTTACCAGTGAGGACCTGGACGCCCAGAGAGGTGAAGTGAGCTGCCTAGAGCCACACAGCCTCGTCCTGGGCCGAGCCAGGCTTTCAGACTCGGGCCGATCACCTCCGAAGCCTGCACTCTTCACTGGGAGGCCTCCAGCAAGAACCCCTCAGGCGGGTGGGATCGGGCCTGTGGCTGTCTTGCTTGACCCGCAGGGTGATGTTAAAAACTGAGAAGTCTCACTTGGAAATTCAGATGGTTTCTTAGGAAGAATGGGAGGTGGTGGCAGCTCTGGGCCCTGTCCCCCCGTGGTGATGGGGGTTACCAGCTGGCAGCAGGGGCCCTGGTGTGCCCAGGCTGCTCCTGTTCCTTCTAGTCCCCTTGCCCTGGCCCCTCCCCTTGGTTACTCTGCCTGGCTGCCCCCTTCTGCCCATTATTCCTGGGGCAGGGCAAGGGGGAGGTTGTCATGATCACCGCTGTTTCCCGAGGACCCACTCTGCTGGCTTCAGACAGCGGAGCTCTTCTGTGATTTGTGCTGCCAACAGGGAGCCCTGGGCTGCTTGGCGTTTATGCCTTGACCTTTGCTCTTAACCCCAAAGCTCCTAATGGTGCCTCCTCTGCCCGGATGGGAACTAGGCTGGTTTGGTTGAAAAAGCCACTCTGCTGGGTGTCGGGGATCATGTTGTAGACCTGTTGGTCAGAATGCTGTTGAGGGCAAGTAACAGAAACCAAAGTCAGTCCGTGGCTGAGACAGCCAGAATGGGTGGGACGTGTTGGCCGCAGCTGAGATGCTCCGAGGGCCTGGTGCAGGCCTCCCTGCGGGTCTGCGGGGGCTGCTGGGCGTCACAGTGCTCCTCCCCAGGGCTCCCTCCTCAGGCGGCTTCACCTTGGGGCGCCAGGACAGTGTCCGACAGAAGGGACGAGTCCTGTGATATGCTCCCCCTGGACCCTGCTTGAGCTGGGCGCCATGATTCTGATTGGGCCCCTTCGAGCTGGCCGTGGGGTTGGGGTCACTTTATGGGAACCATGTAGATGAAGACGGGGTGAGGGGTCTCCAGACTGATGCTTGATTGATGTATGTCCCTCATTCTGGTTGCGTGTCTCTCCTCCCAAGAGATAGAGGCACCCCGAAAGCCGGAGATTTTCATCTCTGGGGATCAGTAAATGCTCGGTGAGCACCTGCTCCGTGCCGTCCCGCTGCTGGGCTCCAGAAGCACAGGAGGGATAAAGACAGGCCCACGGTCTGGTGCGGAGGAAGAGTCACACGACTCTCGAGTGTTCTTGCTTTTAACCAGTTTTCTCCTACCTCTCGTGGGCCAGAGGACAGCAGGCGGTCAGTCGGTGCTGGCTGGCTGGTCAGCGGCCAGGTCGGTTTCTGCGTCAGGAAGGCTCAGCCCGGCAGGTTGTGTGTCCGAGAGCAGGGAGGGAAGCGCTCTGCCCATCGCGTGGGACGGTGAACACCTGGCATCCACCCACTGTGTGCCTGTTGGGGGTCCTCAGTCATTGTCATCGTCCTGGCCCTGGACACACACTTGTTCAAACTCGTTCTGGTCAGGGTGTGGGGTGGACATCACTGTCCCTCGTTAGGAGTGGCCCTCTGGGAGGCCAGGCATGTAAACAGACGGCTGTAATGGGTGTGATAAGTGCCCCAGAGGTCAGGCAGGGCGATGGAATAGGCGTTCTAGGGGGACGGGGCTGGAGGGGCAGAGGGAGGACACAGGTCTGGGGGCTCTTCCCGCCCCCGCCCACCTGTAAGTGTGGAGTCCCTCTCCTGTGCCAGGCGCTGTTCGGGCCCCTGGGAGGACACTGGACTGGATTTCCACAGCAGCGCAGAAGCATCAGCTTCGAAGTCCTTGCGAAGAGAGGAAGTCATCGGCTGGGCGTGGAGGGTGGGAGGCGTCCCTTGGTGGGACGAGGGGCTTCTTGGTGAAGCTAAGCCCTCGGGACGTGGTGACCACTGACTTGTAGCAACACCCCCAGGACGCCTGAAGTCACTCATGCTCCAGCCCCGTTCCCGTCTCCCGCTCTTGCCCAGGGACGCTCGTTGTGTCCTGACCTTGGTTATGGTTTCCCAACCGTCCCTTTACTGAGCACCCTCTGGGTGCGGGACACATTGCAAAGGGCTCACCCTGGGTGGCCTGACGGACAGCAGCCCCGACACTGTCCAGGGGGCGGGAGCTGCGAGGCCCCCGCACTGGGGTGAGGAAACCGTTACCGAGGAAGAAACCGGGACCTGACCCACGCTCTTGACATCTTAGCGCCGCCCTGCCCGAGGGGGCTTTTGTAGAAAGCTTTTAAGTTTTTAATTGTAGAAATAGATTCTCCTTATGAAAAATTAAGGCGTTGCAGTGAAGGCCAACGCCCCTTGTGGTCCTGTTCACCTCAATCCATGTCCTGGTGGGAAGCAGAGTTTTCTAACGCGCCTCCGCCTAGACAAGAAATATTTGCACACGCGTGATCCGCCTGTGGAAAACCCATAGGGCCGTTTTGCGTGGGGGCAGTCTGTTCTGTTTTTTAAAAATATAGATGGGGTCTTACTATGGTTTTCTTCTGCATCTTGTTTTTCTACTCAGCAGTATGTCTTTTTAAAAAAAATATTAACATGTCACTAATAAGCTAGTGAAACTGAAGTCTTCTAGCCTTTTTTTTTTTTTAGGGCTTTTTGAAGAAATGACTTAAACAGGGTGTGTGTTTCAAAACCATAAAAAATGTCTCTGAGGTGCAGCAGTTTTTAAAAGATGAGTAGTTTGCCTGTAGTAACTGTGCTGTTAGACAGTTTTAATAAAAAGATGCTCCTGGCTATAAAGTTAAGGTCAAAACCTGTTTTCCCCAATGTTTCTATTCTTGCTGATAAAAGCTAGTGAGGCTGAGGAGTCTGTTCTGTTTTGGCCCCCCCGCCCCTGGCCTCTTGCTTCCAATGAGTGAGGAAATAAAATACTTATTTCCTTTTGGGGAAAAAAAATGACTTTGTTGCACCAGTTGGAGCATTTTTAGATAAGATTTAAGGATTGGGGCATGAAGTCCCAGAGTTCTAGAGTAGAGACTGGCAGACGTTTTCGGTAAAGGACCAGAGAAAATAAATACCTTAGGCCTTGCAGGCCACGTGTTCTCTGCTGCAGCTAATTCTGCCACTGCAGAGTGAACGCAGCCACAGGCAGTGTCTAGACAAGTGAACGCGGACGTGTTTCAATAAAACTTTATTTACAGAAGCGGGCTGGGGGCCGGATTTGGCCCGTGGGTCATAGTTTGCCAGCCTGATCTGGATGTTCCCAAAGTCGAGTCCTGTCGTGAGGGAGGAGGGAAAGGGCAAGAGGGGCTAGCTGGGGAGTCACTCGGCGGTATTTCTTCTGAACCTGTTCTGAAAAGACCCCCGGCATTGACTTCCATAGGCACCTTGAACCTGTTTGTTATGGGGTCCCCTGAGGATGGATAACTCGGTTGTTTCTAAGAGATGGGGACCGTGTGTTGTATCGCGGTTGCCTGGCTGCCGGGACCTCGGCGTCTCAGCCGCTTGTGGTCTTCCCCTCCAGGGCCAGGGGCAAGGTGAAGCACTGTCGCATCAACCGGGACGGCCGGCACTTCGTGCTGGGGACCTCCGCCTACTTCGAGAGCCTGGTGGAGCTCGTCAGCTACTACGAGAAGCACGCGCTGTACCGCAAGATGAAGCTGCGCTACCCCGTGACTCCCGAGCTCCTGGAGCGCTACAATATGGTAGGTGGCTGACCCATCCTTTGGTAGAATATCTCATCTGAGGTTATGGTTCATCGGTTCCTTCATTTAGCAAACCTTTGTTGAGCACTTACCATGTGTCTGAGGTGGCTCTAGTCCCGGGGATACAAAATCGAACACAGTGCGCAAAGACCCTGCCCTCAGGCTGCCTATAGTCTCGTGCTGGGGAGACAGGTAACGAAAGAGGCGAATTAAAAGGTATGCACAGAGCATTGCGAGACAGTGACAAGTGCTGTGGGGAAAAACAAACTGGGCAGGTGGATAAGTGGATTTGGGGTGATGCAAAGGGGGTGCAGTTCTCAGAGGTGGTCTGGGGAGATCTCACTGAGGAGGAGACATTTGAGCAGACGTTAGCAGGGCTGAAGGGGTCAGTCATGCAGCTATGTGGAAGAAGAACAGCAAGTGCAAAGGTCCTGAGGTGAGGATGTGCCTGGAGGTGCAGAGAGGAAGCCAGGGTGGCTGGAACTGAGTGAGCCAGGGCGGGGGTAGAACCTAATAAGATGGGGATAAATAGGGGACTGCATGGTGTAGGGCATTTGCCAATTTCCATGGTGTAAATGCTTCCACGGTGGCCGGTTTCAAGGGACCGACGTTGAATGCGGGTCAGGAAGAGACATCTATAGGCTCCAGCGCACTCAGGGTCTGTGTTTTTACGAAGGAGCACAGCGCCTTGCCCGTAGTGGGCCAGGATAGGGTCTTTCTCATTTTTGGATAAAGTTTCCAAGTTTTGGAAACTTTTTTATAGCTTCTTATTGTCTCTACCCTCAAGACATGAGTAAATTGAGGTTTTCTCTCTTCTACCAGAGGGCCGGAAACCACAAAGGCACCTGGAACCCTTGTTCTGTGTAAGGCCGCCCCAGGAGCACGGACAGTTCCATTTATGTTTCTCTGTTATTTTTCAGGAAAGAGATATAAACTCCCTGTATGACGTCAGCAGGATGTATGTGGATCCCAGTGAAATCAACCCTTCTATGGTACAGTCCTGATCTTTAATTCACACTATTTCCTGGTCACTAGATGGGCATCTCCCCACCCCCTGGTCATAATAGGGCCAGGGAACATTTCGGGAAACTTGTCCAAATAATATATATGTTTGACCTTTGTTCTTTTTAGAGGAAATGACGGTTGACAATATGACACCTAGTGTCAGGGAAGAGGTTAATAGAATTCCTTTTACATGCAGCCGTACCTTGCTCAAATTCTGAGGTTTGATGAATCACCTCTGGGCCATGCCGCTTCTAATTAAAAGTCTTTCAGATGTTTCTTGCTCACCATCGGACTTGGTGGTGTTTATAAATTCTGTCTGGTTCACTGACCTCCTTGCAGTGAGAACACTGTTTCATATTTCCCACCCCGGCTGGAGTATAATCTCATGCAGGTAGGGTTGGATTTTTTTTTTTCTTTCTTTATTGATTTTAGAGAGAGAGGAAGTGAGAGGGAGAGAGAGATAGAAACATTGATGAGAGAGAACATCGATCAGCTGCCTCCTGCATGCCCCCCACTGGGGATCAGGCCCACAACCGGGCCATGTGCCCTGACCGGGAATCGAACCAGTGACCTCCGGGTGCCCGGGTCAATGCCCAACCACTGAGCCACACTGGCCGAACGGGTTGGATTTTATTCTTAGCCGCCAGCTCCCCTCGCTCTGGTTTCATCTCAGATATAGTTTGAACCTGCGGTGAAAGCGGATGCGAATTCTCTGGGGCGGGCCCTCTGGCACACAGTTGGTACACATTTCTCTGTCAGCAAGAAGCCACGCTGGTGGGCTCTGGAGAAATCCAGACACAATTTATTATTATTATTATTATTATTATTTTAACTTCTAATCCTTGGCCAGTGGAAATCCCTTTCAGCGAGACATGAAGCCTTGACAAGTTGTCGGCACATGGAGCTGGGTGTGCGGAGTGCACGAGCCTGGTAGCGAAAGCTTTCGTGAGAAGTGGCGGATGCTTTGGTGATGAGAACGGCACGGCCTCGTGTCCGCCAGCTGTCGGGATGGTGGGGACCATGGTAAACCGAGAAACGCTCCGCCTGTCTCAAGGGCCGCCGCTCCCCAGGAGCAGTCTGCCGCTGCCTTTCAGAGAGCGGGCCAGGTCTTCTGATGTCTCAGCATAAACCATTAATTCGGATCTTTGTTTGGAATCTCCACGTTTTTTAATCCTGGCAACTCCGTTAAGTCGTGGAGAGAATCTTCCTATACTGGGTGAGCCAAGCAAAACATGACCGCGTGCTGCATTGGACTGCAGGGTGCCCAACTGAGGTGACCGCCAGGAAATAAAAGTATTACTATTACTGTGATTGAAAAATGATTATCACAATGCAAGAAGCATTTGGAAAACCAGAAAAACAACCGGTCCTGGTCGCACCATCCTGAGGCGGTGGCTTCTGCGTGTTTATTGGGTGTGCCGTCTCTTCCGGTCTTTGCATGTGTTTTCTTAGCTCTGCCCCCGTCAGTGGCCAGTTGGGTCACTTCTGGTCTTTGCTCTTCCAGTTAACCCTAAAGTGAACTCCTTCACGTGGGAGGCTTTGGGCGTCTTTTGCGTTATTTCCTTCGGATGAATTATTAGAACTGGAATGACTAGATCAAAGAGTAGCTAACATGTCAGTGACCACACATCAAGCACTGCTCTGAGCCCTTGACAGCTCAATCATCTTGCAGCAGCCCCACGCAGCGGGTACTGTTTTTGCACCCATTGTACAGATGGCGAAACCGAGGCACATAGAAGTTGAATAATTGCTGAGGTCACATAGTTAGGAAGGGGTGGAGGTGGAATTCCGACCCAGGCAGTCGGCTGCGAGGGGTGTGTCTTAGCCACGTTGAGTGCTGCTGCCTACTTGGCCATCCGATGGGTGTCTTGTTTCTGTGTAGTTCACGAGGGACCATCTGTCTGGCTGGAGACTTGCTCCTTTGGAAGCCATTATACGGCACCCTCACCTCCCCACGGGTGGTAGCGCCCTTGTGGCCTTGGAGCCTGGCAGTAACTGGTGCAGTTCGTGGGGAGAGGTGTGGCTCCGGTTCTTATATTTTGAAGCAAATGCGCAGGTAGAGCAGCCTCTGTTTGCAGGTGAGGGGACAAGGGCAGACCTGGTTAGCCTGGAAGTTCCTGTGGCAGAACTTGCAAGACCCAGATTAGATTGCTTCTTCTTTTTTTTTTTTTTTAATCCTCACCAGAGGAAATTTTTCTACTTTTTGTTCAGATAGAGTAGGAGGGAGAGAGAGAGAAACATCGATGTGAAAGGGACACATTGAGTGGCTGCCTCTCGCACGACCCAACAGGGCCAGGGATGAATCGCAACTGAGGTACGTGCCCTTAGTGAGAACTGAACCCGGGTCTCTCAGGACCGCAGGCCGACACTCTAACCGCTGAGCCAAACCGGTCAGGGCTAGATTGCTTCTTAAGGGACTCTATGAACTGTGGCAGTAACTCGTGTTATTTGATTCACCTCTGCATTCAGCCCCCTACCAGCTGTTGACCTTGGACAAGGATACTTCATCTCTGTACCTCAGTCTCCTCATCTGTAAAATGGGTGTAATAACACTGTTAAGGCTGTTGGGAAGATTAAAGGAGAGACTATTGATAAAAGGCCCAGAGCAGTGTTTTGAGTATAGTAAGCCCTTAATAAATGCTAGGCATTGTCTTTTTTGTCATTACATGCATTATCTCATTTAGTAGTCTTTAACAACCCTGTGACGCATGTCAAGTTTTAATTCCCATTTCCTAGACAGGGAAACAGAGGCTGGGGGCACCTCAAGGAACAGAGCGGTAATTTGAACTCACATTTGACCCCAGTCGCCTCTGCTCTAAGGAGCGGGTTATACTGGATTCCTTGTAAAAGCCTTTCGCATTTCCACGGGTGGGGGGAGGGGAAAGTTGCTGATGTAAACAGGTTTGACAGTTCCCGAGGTTTTCTGATGAACATTTCTTGCTGCGTGGGTATTCATTTTGCCATGGATTTGTGCTTGCCAAGCGAGCATTAAAACAAATTTCCTGAAGAAAAATTTTATCCTGAATAAGTTCTGGCGTACTTGTTTCTGCCAGTGCAGAGATCAGCTTTTGATGAATTTCATGAAGGAGTGCCTCGGTTACTCTTGCAAAATGTCAGTGTCCTGCAGGAGGCTGGTTAGGGGACCCCTGGCCTAGGCAAGTAGAGGTGATGGCCAGGAATGGCGCAGAGTTTGAACTTCTGGGAGGGTTGTTGAGTGTGGGCATGGAGGACTTCAGAGGTGGTTGTCGTGGCTTGATCTGAGAGGGATATCCTTTCGTTGTTTAGGAACTTGAGCAATGTTGGGTGACTCTGAGTTGCCCTCAGCTCTGACCAGGCCCGTCCCCATCCTTACTCCCTGGTGACTTTGTGAGGCTGTGGATCCTTCGCAATGCAAGAGCTTGGCCAGCAGATGGCACTGTAACCCTGGACTGAAGCCTCCTGCTCCCAAATGAGAACTAAATGTGTGCCAGTGAAGGCAGACCCCTCCCTCTGACCTTTTACTTTTTGTTTTCCCTGAAAGCCGCAGAGAACCGTGAAAGCTCTGTATGACTACAAAGCCAAGCAGAGTGATGAGCTGAGCTTCTGCCGCGGCGCCCTCATTCACAACGTCTCCAAGGAGCCTGGGGGCTGGTAAGGCGGGGCCGCTGGGTGGATGCACTGTACTGGTCATGTTTGGGTGGTGAGACACAAGTGCTGGCTGAGCACTGACCCCTTTTATCTGCGTGCTGAGCTGCTTTGACCTGTTCTACCTTCTCTGGGAAGTGGTTTGATGCATGCATGCTCTCTTCAGAACAGTGGATAAGCACTAATTATCATATTATAGCACATAACATATCCCATCATATTACATATTGGTTGTAATAGTAGCTACCATTTATTGTGGTCTTACTGTGTGCCAAGCACTGTGCTAATTGCTCTCGTACATCATCTAACCAAATCCTCATTACAACCCTGCGGAGCTATTACTGTGATTATCCCCACTTTGCAGATGTGGTGAATAAAGCTTTCCAAAGTTGCACAGCTACTAAGTAGCGCAGGCTTTTCCCATTATATAAGCCTGTGCATTATTTTAAATTCAAATTCTTATGCTATGGCGTAGTCCTGGGCCGATGAGGGTACATTTTAGGCCAAAGGTACCTGGTGTGCTAGGGTTTAGTTAGCTCTTCTCCTTTTTCATGTGGGAGGAAAAATTTGCTGCTCAGCCATAGGCTCCAGAGTATGTAGTTTTGTGGGGGTGATTTGTACCTTAGAGCAGTAAGAATTTGTTCATAACCATGAGCACTGGCAGAAATTCAAGCACCTCACAAGATCAGTGTCTCTTCTTCCCACAATATAACTGAACCTGCCCTAGAAGTTGGAATAGCAGCTCGAATCGAGTGCCTGTGTATCAAGCACTGTTTAAACACTTCATCGGAAAGAGCTCATTTAGTCCACACAGTGACCCTGGAAGGTTGGTTCTGTTGGTACCTGCACTTTACAGACAAGTAAACTGGCACAGAGAAGTACAGTAACTTGTCCAGGGTCACACAGCAGGCTGAGATTTGAGGTCAAGCCTTCTCATTTCAGAGCCCAGAGGTTTTCAAAGTTTTTTGTTTTTTTTTTTAAATTTGGAGAACCCCCTCTTCAACTCAGTTCTTACCTGGATCCCCCAGAGTCAGAAACAGATAACAGCAGAGTTATCTGTTGGAACCTGGGCTTGGAGCCCCCGTCTGGCCTCCCTGCCAATGTCTGTCTACCCCTCTGGAACCCCTAGAGCTCCTCCTCGTAAGACCCCGACCCCAGATTGCCAGCCACAGTGCTGTCCATCTGCCTCCCTCCAAAACGGAGCTTGACTTTCCCAAGATCCCTCCTGCTGAGCGGCACAGCCGGAATCCGGTCTCCCCCAGGCCCCAGCACCCCCCACTGTGCATTTGCACCCTGCTTCTGTTGAGGTCCCGGTTCTAACTGTGCAGGTGACTGACATCAAGTTGTGGGTAGAGCAACTGTGAGTAAACCACCCCGATGAGGTCCCCCCATTTCTCATCTCTCCAATGGCAATAGTGCCATCTAGTGGGATGCCTGTGTCAGACCCCCCCCCCCCCTTTTTGCATCCTCCCAAGCTGGTTACAGTGTAGCTGAGGGGACCAAATAATTTTTTTTGTCCAAACTGGACTGCATTTGAGAGTGAAGGGAATATTATTGTTACTAATTACACCTAGACAACAGGCATACATCACTCAGTTCTGGGCAAACAGTCACCCTGAATACAGCCAGCTTTTACCCGAGATGGGTCTGGAGAAGCGGAGGTGAACATGGCTTACAGCTGGGGAACCTGGATTTATATGAGGCCATGAGACGGTGGGTTTTCACTCTGCTCAGTCAAGTGAGCAAACATGAGTGAAGTGCTTTCCCATCACGCTGGGTACAGATTTGACCAAGATTAAGAAAGGTTTCATGTAGCGGGGAAAACGTGTGTAAGTTCAATATAAGATGTGAACTGCCCCGGGAGCACTCAGCCTAGGTGGCAGTCAGGGAAGGCTCCCTAGAAGAGGCACACTTGAGCTGAATCTTAAATGGATAGTAGGAGCAAGCTGGATGTGAAGGGCATGGGCCAAGGCATGAAAACTAGGCAGCATAGCTGGCACACAAGCTGAGTCATGGAGAGGCAGGAGTTGAGGTCCAAGAGTCCCTGGGGTCAGACCATGTGGGCTCTGATCTCCAGGATAAGAGCCGGCTGGATTCTGAAGGCGTCGGGAGCCATCGGTGTGGGTGGTCAGCAGTGCATTCTGGAACGTGCTCCTGGGCGCAGACAGTGGCTCCCAGGGGGCGGTGGCGGGAGGAGCCCAGCCACAGGGCGTGGGGCGAGAATCTGGGACCTGCCACAGTTCAGTGGAGTCGAGACACACACGTGGCTCGATTATGTCCCGTGTTGTTGTTAGTGCTATTACGGAGGTAGGAAGAAGGTTGGGGGCGGTATTTTAGCTGAAGCTAACCATTGAGCACTTACTACATACTAGGTGCTGTTTAAAGCTCTCGGCATGTGTTAACCCCTGAGGTCCCAATACACCCCCTGAGGGAGGCACCGGGATGATCCCCATTTTACGGACGGCGCAGAGTGGCCATGTGGTTGGTGGTAGAGCTGGGATTTGATTCCAGGTTCTTCGGCTCCAGAATGTGCTGATTCTCACCCTGGACCCTGAACTGATGGTGCTCCCTGAAGTGGGGTTGGACGTACTCTAACATAGAGCTTGTGTGGCCCGTGATGTCCCCGTGAAGCATTGGAACGTGTCTTTGACCAAACTAGCCAGAGGGTTCCCCCCAGTCGCACTTCTGACAGAAATGCAGACGATGCCTTTGGAGTGCTCCCTTCTCCCAGCACCTCCTCTGGCCACTGGGTCACTGGCCGCCTTTCCCCACCAGCAGCTGGGCTCTAAGGAGGAGGGATGGATTATCATCGCTGCCCAGCGAGGCCCTGATGCCCTCTGTTTTCACCCAGGTGGAAAGGCGACTATGGGACCAAAATCCAGCAGTACTTCCCGTCCAATTACGTCGAGGACATTTCAACGGTGGATGTGGAGGAGCTGGAGAAGCAGGTGAGTCGCGGTCATGGTAGGGAGGGGCCCGACGCGTCCGCGCAGTGGATGCGTTTTACGCGCAGTGGCGGGCGGGCCCCGTGGAGCCCTGAGGCAGTGACGTGGACATCAGGATCGTCCCCCGCGCTGTCGCAGGCGAAAGCCATCACGTTTTAATCAGGTTGTGCTGGGCTGGAAGGCTTTGCATATGCAGGAGAAATCCCTCTAGAGTGAAAACAGCCAAACGGGGAATTTGTCCTTCGCTAAAGCAGCTTGCAAATGAAACACATTTCGTTTGGCCAGCCAGACATTCAGGACGTGCCTGGTGTGGAGAAGCGAGCAGGCCAGAGTGCAAGGTGTGGGGAGGCCTTCCTGGTGGCCTGTTCAACCCGGCTGCTGTCCCCTGCCTCCCCGGCAGGCTCAAGGAGGAGCCACTCAGTGTGACAGCACTGCACCAGGGACGGGCTCTTTGTAATGAGGACCTGAGGAATTTTCTGAGGGAGTTGGGGGCAATCTGGGAGGGCTACATGGAGGAAGGGGCATTGGAGCCTTAAAAGTCAAGTTAGAGATTGATAGCAAAAGCCCAGCCGGTGTAGCTTAGGGGTTGAACATCGAGCCATGCACCAAGAGGTCGCCAGTTCGATTCCCGTCAGAGCACGTGCCCAGGTTGTGGGCCAATTCTCCAGTGGGGGGCCTGCAGGAGGCGGCCAGTCGATGTTCTCTCTCATCAGTGTTTCCATCTCTCTATCTCTCCCTTCTTCTCTCTAAAATCAATGACCAAAAAAAAATAGACTCAGGACGTGAGTGTTGCTTTTGTAGGACATGGAGGGTCACACAAGCTTCTTGAGCTGGGCTGTAGGAGGCCATAAAAATGTCAAAATAAAGGGTCTGGGATGTTTCTGAAGCCAGAGCCATGAAAACGCTCCCAAACCTGTTCCAGAATTCACACGGCGTATTTTCACGCCCTGGAAAAGGAAACGCGGCACCCGCCGCAGCTGCTCACCGCTCGGTCCCCATCAGGAACATGCTTCGTTAGTCAGCGCGCTCCCCCTGGACCTATCCTGTGATGGAAATGCATTTTAAACAGGTCCACCGGCGGTGTCTCTGCTAAACGGCCTGCCTGGGAAACGGCGTGTCTTTTATGATTATACCGGTTAAGGCTAACGTGAGTTATGTCTTATTTCTTTACAGATTATTGAAGACAATCCCTTAGGGTCCCTTTGCAAAGGAATATTGGATCTCAACACCTATAACGTTGGTACGTTCACACAGGGTCTTCGCCTGGACTGCTGGGTCCGTCTGGCCTTGACTTGAAGGCTGAAGTTGGGTTTGGGGCCAGGCTGGTGGCTGATTGTAGTGTTATGTCTGCTGCTAACATCTGTACAGTGCCCCCACCCAGTCTGGTGCGGCGTGGACGCGTGTTAGATGCTGTATTCCCAATGCCGTCTTCCTCGCAGGGGTCCGTCTGGGTTTCCCATGTTCTCCTGAGGGGAACGGGGCTGCCGGCCTGCCTGCGACGGAGCACGGAGTTGGGAGCGTCCAGTTCTCAGCCCAGCTCTGCCTCTCAGCTGCCACGACACCCTGGGCCTGTCCCTTCTCTCTGAACCGGCACTTCTGGCCACCCAGCCGGGCACCGGGGGACCTGGCCAGCCCACCTTAGAGTATGGGGTGAAGGGGCCTGTGAACGCACGGCCTGGGCACATACAGGGGTGCCAGTGCATTACAGGGGGCTCCCTGAGCCTTGGCCGTGCGCACTTCTCAGTGGGGATGTAGCGGCTTCCAGGTGGAGGGACTGAAGGCGGTGAGGACACCCTGGGCAGGGACCCACGCACGTCCTCCTCCAAGAGGCCCGTTTCCCCGGCTCCCTGCAGCCCCTCAGCCTGCGCCTTCCACGACCTTGGCCGGGGAGGCCCTGAGCCTCGGGTCGCCGTGGCGCCAGGACCTCGCTGCTTTCTCCGTTTGTTACTCGTGTTTTGTTTCTTCTTGACAACAACCTAATAGGGTAGGTCAGAGAGGGAGTCTTCACTCAGGTAACGGATGAGAACACCAAGCCCCTAACAACCACGAGCCCTGCCCGTGGTCCCCAGGCAAGTTCACGGACGAGCGGAGACCCCTGTGCCGCTCTGTGGGCCGTCTCCTGCCCCGTGTTTGCAGGGGACAGGAAGCTGGGAGTCCGGTCCGATTTCAGCCCCAGCCTTGCCCTGACTAGCTGTGTGGCCTTCCACGGGTCACTTTCCCTCAGCGCGTGTTTCCTGTCCTGTGAAATGGGAGAGCAGCACCCACACGGTGTGACAAGGATTAAATAAGACACGGTGCGTGTTATCTGCTTAGCGTGCGGCCCGGCAGGCCAGAGCTCAGAGGGCTCCGTCAGTGATGCTACCTGGCAGCTCATTTCTCCTGCCATAGCTTTCATTTTCTCTCTTCATTCTTCACCCAAGGATATTCTTCTATGGAGTTTTAGGTAGAGGGAAGGGAGGGGGAGAGAGAAACGTGGATGTGAGAGGGACACATCATTTGGTTGCCTGCCACATGACCCCGACCCGGGCTGGGGGCTGAACCTGCAACACAGACGCGCCCTTGACTGGGAATCGAAGCCGTGATCCTTCGGTCCACGGGCTGACGCTCAACCGCTGAGCCAAATTGGCCAGGGCATGGCCTTCATGTTCTTACTTAGAAACACTTCCTCTGCAGACAGAATCCATTCCATGCCTCCCTCCCGCTCCCGCTGACAGCCCTCGGCGTCCCGTGGCCTGTGACCGCATCACTGGTCTTGGCCTCTCGTGGCCACCTTCCCAGTGTCTGTGTCTTACACATCCCTCTTCCTTCTCTGATAAGGACACTAGTTCTCAGAGGTGCAGTCCGCCCTAAATCCACGGATGGGCTCCTCCTGAGATCCTTAAGCACATCTGCAAAGACCCTGTTTCTGATGAAGTTCACATTCCTGGGCGCCAGGGGTCGGGACGTGGACATAACGTTCTGGAGAACAGGACTCGGGCTGCTGTGTAGCTTCGGTAGGGCCGCGTGTAGGGTCCGGGCACTGCCCGGCACAGAGCAGACGTCCCAGTCGTCCCTGGCCAGGCCGCGGCAGCCGGCCCCGGACAGGACAGGGCGCGGGCGGCTTTCTGACAGGCTGAGCGGGCTTGTGGTCTTCTCTCCCCAGTGAAAGCCCCGCAGGGGAAAAACCAGAAGCCTTTTGTCTTCATCCTGGAGCCCAAGAAGCAGGGCGACCCTCCGGTGGAGTTCGCCACGGACAGGGTGGAGGAGCTGTTCGAGTGGTTTCAGAGCATCCGGCAGATCACCTGGAAGATCGACACCAAGGTAGGCCCTTTGCTCACCTGGGCTCAGGTGGGCCTGGGGTTCTCAGGCCTCTGGCCTCCGCTGAGCCGCGGGTGGGTCCGGGCAGCAGGAGGATCTGGCTCGGGGGCCACACAATTCAGGGAGGCGACAGGGTGGGTTCAGACAGGAGGAGAGTCAATCATTTTGAAGGGGAAGGGGTACTGGTCCACGGGCTGATGCTCGAGCCGCTGAGCCAGACTGGCCAGGGCTAGGCTGTATGGTAATAAGAAAGTTTTGCCTTTCTTGTTTTGAGTGTTTTCTTGTCTCTCAACATTGTTGAAAGCCGGCAGGATCCCTCCCACCGTGATCCCTCCCTCAGGGCGCCCCTGGACCTGCATGGCCCTGGGAACACGAGTTCCCAGCACCCCGTCCTTTCCCGCCAGAAGTTGGCGCTCTTGTGGGGGAAGGTCCGCCCTTAGGGGGCATGGGCTTCCAGGGTGCTCCTGCCCGGAGCATTAGTGGGTGGCTGGAGGCCTTGGGAAGGGTGAGGTCTGGGTAAGGACAGGGTTAGGACCAGGCAGGCTGGCCCCCCGGTTCCTTGTGTGCAAACCGAGGAGCCAGAGACGAAGTGAGGATGGAGTCAGACGAAGCGTGAGACGCGCCAGGCGGGTGCCTGACAGGCCGCGAGGGCTCCGTTCGTGATGCTGTTTAGTCTCACCGGGAGGACGTGGGGAAGGGAGCGGAAGGTGCCATCTGCTCTTTCTTGTGGCCAAAGAACTGGGAAGAAATGTTAGGGTTTTCCATGTGCTGCTAAGACAAGGGCTGATCCAAAGAACTGATTTTAAAGTTTGCCCAGGACCTCTTGGGCCCAGGTGACCTCTGGTTATGGCTGATGGGCTTTCCTCCTCCAGTGCCCGGGGAGGGCCAGCCGTCTGGTCACCTTGACTCAACCTTTCAACCCTAGAGTGAAGTCCTCTTCTTAAGAAGACTTTCTCTTTTTGTTAATCTTCGCCCGAGGCTGTATTTCCATTGATTTTTAGATAAAGTGGGAGGGAGGGAGACACACAGCGAGAGAGACACATCAGGGAGTTGCCTCCCTCATGACCCCAACCAGGGCTGGGGTCTGAACCTGCAGCCCTCCAGTCCATGGGCCAGTGCTCTAACCACTGAGCAAACTGGCCAGGGCACTGAGCCGACTTTCTACAGGGACTTGGTGGGATACCGCCCTCCCTAACAGGGCCCGTCGTCTTTCTGTCCTAGACTCTAGTCAGACCCCTCACGTATGGGTCCCCAAGGGCTTGTCACACCATCACCACTCCCTTACGGAGAGCTGTGGCCAGCAGGTGTCTTTGTCCCCCGTTTTCTGGTTGGGGCGTCTTTCACCTCTGTGCCTTCAATGTAGTACAGCTCTGAGGCACGGGGGGCGCCGTTTCCCAAGGTTTATTTGAAAGATCCTTTCTCCCCCAGCTTCTAGGTGCGTTCTCTTTGCCAGGTGAACTGCAGGGCACCGGCTGCCTCTCTGTGACCCTCCTAAGCATGTTCTCGTATTTGTGACTCTGGGCCCCGAAAGCCAAGAAAAAACTACACTAGTGAGAAAGCCCGTAGTCCTGTCCCCTGGAGACTTGACTCTCAGGCCCCCAGCCTGTCCTGGGAGTGGACAGAGCGTGGGACTCGGCGCTCTGCGCCTGGCGATGTCCCCGCCTGCTGCGCCCTGGCTCCCACTCTTCGTGGAGGAAAAGGGGGTCTCACTGCAGGTGCTTTGCCCCTCTCCTCTCCTGCATGAAGGCTCCAGGCTGCTGTTCCCTCTCTTTGATCTACATTCCCTTTTAATTGGTTTTTACATCTGCTGCAATTTCACGAGAGAGAAAAAATTTTTTTTAAGTCTTATTATGTACGAAGGTTAACAAAGCAGGAGTCGGTGGGATTGACGGGGTCCTGCTCCGTGGGAACGAGGCAGGGGCCCATCCTGCCCTTGGGAGACCAGCGCGAGGTGAACGCTCGGCTGGGTGCTCCTCCCCCAGCCCTCCCCCTGGTGCCTGTCCCCGAGGGCCTGCTCTGGGCTCTGGTTTTCCACGACCTCTGGCCTCCTTTAGTCCGCGGCGGGAGACTGGTCACTGAGATCCACCTGGTAGCGGGTTTCCGAAGCCTGGCCAATGGTGTGTTGTGACTTCTTCTTCTGAGATGGCCTGTTGGGCAGAGCCTGCCACCCTGGAGAGTAATTGTTAGAAGATTTTGAGGTAGCCCCTGGTATTTCATCTTAGATAGTGTCTTCTGCTAAGGCTGAAAAAAAAAAGTGAAGCCCATGGCTTGTCATTGCTCTGTGCTTGGTGAAGTCAGAGTTCCATAATTCACCGCGGGGACGGCACAGCCCCCCCCCCCATTCGAAGCACTTCTGTCGTCATTAGAGACGAACTGTGCTGTTGTGGGGTCTCCTGTCTCCCCGACAGCCCCGTGATGACATCACCGAGAATATAAAACCGAGGTGGTACAAGGTCTAGCGGGAGACATCTGAAAATAAGTAAGGTTTCGCTTTCCCTGACAGCATTTTGCTACCGAGGTGCGGCTCACATCACCCCTGCCTCTTCCTCCAGCCCCCCCCCCCCCCGGCGGCTCCCATTCAGAAAGCGTGGTGAGGGCTGGTGACAGTGAGGTGTGCCTGTGCCTGGATGAACTAGAGCACATTTCGGAGGCTGACAGTCACATCTGTCCTGGGAATGGGGTCCCCACCGGGGCTCACCTAGAAGGCTTGCTTGCCGAGGTGCACTCTGGTCCCAGGGCTTCGTGAGCACTCGTGGGTCGAAGGCATTCTTGCAGAAGAAGCCGAGTGCTCGCACCTGCTTGTTTCCAGAGGGGACTTTCTCTGTCCTGTGCCTGGGGGACATTTCTGGAGCATCTGAGTGGCCCCCACTGTGCCTGGCGGGGTGCAAAGGCCTCCGTGTTTAGTTCTCTAGGAGCAGATCCTTGTCTTAGCTTCATCTTACAGTCGAGAAAACTGAGGTGCAGAGAGGGTCTGTGACATGCTCGGTAGACTTAACTAATAACAGTGTCAGCTTTCAAACCCATGTCTCCAGCTCCGGTTCCCACTGTCGTTACCGCTCTGTTCTGTAGCCCCCCTCACTACCGGGCCCTGCTCCCCAGGGACATTTCAGCGGGGAAACAAGTCCTGGGCACTAGTGATGAATGGCCTCAGTGCAGGACAGCCGGACCAGGGGCCGTGCCAGGCCGAGCGAGGCCGAGCCTGGGTGAAACCGAGCACTCTGGGAGATTTGCGGAAAGCAGCGTTCTTTTCCCCGTCCTGGCTGGGGTCATCCAGGCAGGCTTCCTGGAGAAGGAATGATCTGGGCAGGGCCCAGGAGGAGGGGGGCTGCAGGGTGCGGAGCCAGGAAGTCTTTGCTGTGGTTCAGGGGTCCTGGGACATGAACGTGGGAGCCTTTAGGGGAATCGGAGGCAGGAGGAGGCTGTGCACGCAGGGTGCAGGGGTGCAAGTCATGACAAGTACACTGTGGTCTGCAGAGCCTAGGACATGAGCTCGGGGAACTAGAATGGGATAAACTGTAACCGTGGTTTTAGGGGAACGGATGGGCCAGGGAACCGAGAGCAGAGGGTTGAGGAGAGTGGTGTGGTGACAGAGGCTAATCCTCGGTGGGACAACTCGGTCACAAATTTCTCGGCAGGAAGAGGAAGGAAAGTGAGGAGGGGCAGGGAAACTTCAACCATATTAATGATCGGAGTGTGCAGGGGGCCAGAGGGAGGGGAGCGGGGAAGAGGGAGGAGGGCCTGCCAGGCCAGCTGGGGGAGGGGACTTCTCGGCTTGAGGGCTGAAACTAAACACAGTTGGCCCCGAACAGGAGAACAACATGAAGTACTGGGAGAAGAACCAGTCGATCGCCATTGAGCTCTCGGACCTGGTCGTCTACTGCAAACCCACCAGCAAGACCAAAGACAATTTAGGTACTGTCTCCCGGGGCTGCCTCCGGACACGGGGAAGACGCCTGTTCTCTCCGAGTCTGGTGTTGTCGCAGGGCACAGTGAGGGTGGTTGCTGCTCGTTCTCAGCGGCTCTGGGTGGAGCGTCCCCTTGAATTTGTCCACAAGGGCAGGTGCTAGTACCCAGGCCCTTGTGGTACCTTTCGGAGGGCGGGTTAGTTCCCTGCTGCTACCATAACTAGCGACTACAAACTTGGTGGCTGAAAACAACATAGACACGGTGCCCCCCAGAAACGTGTATGCACTTTGACTAATTATAAATTCCAGCGGGTTAAATCTGAAAGAGAAACATCAATTGAGCTATCAGTGGTTCGGTGTGTATACGCTTTTTTGGGGGGACACCCTGTATTTATACTCTCTGGCCTCCTGGAGGCCAGAAGTCTGAAATCAGTATCTCTAGGCTGAAATCAAGGCGGGGGCCGATTTCAGCCACTCCCTCCGGAGGCTGCAGGGAGAATCTCTTCCAGCCTCTGGTGGCTGCATCACTTCAACCTGCCTCTCAGTCACATGGCCTTCTACCAAATTCTTCCCCCTTCCTTTAAGCCTTTTGAGCGGATCCTATCTTTGACCTCAAGAATTGGGGTTCCAGGACCAAGGACCAGAGAAGCAGTACTGAACCCCAGAGTTAATGGTCACTGGGAGGCGCCGCCCCACTACAGCTAGATGAGGGAGCAAAGCTTCGCCCAGGCAGAGAATTGTTGTTGCGTGTCCCCATCCCTCTCCATCACAGCTCTTCCACGGGCACTCGATCCGCCCCCCACCGAGAGGTTTGGTTTGCTCATCAGCATCTGTGGCATCTCGGATGAGGAAGCCAGTCCTCAGATCTCCTACCTGCTGATCCCTGAGGCCATTCCCCCAGGACCCCCCTTTCTGTAATTGTACCACTTTTTTTGTTTTCTTGTGCGAGGCTGCTGGTGATTTGAAACGAAAAGAAAACCACAATGATCCTAGATGAAAAGGCTGTGGGACACTGGGCTCCCTTTCCAGAGCTTGGGGTCCCTGAAGGGCAGGAGCCCACAGCAGTCCCAGTGATGGCAGAATCATCAGAACCGCGTGCCCGTCCTGTCAGAGAGAGTCCTGGTTTCGTTTCGTAAGCCTCCGCGTTAAGAAAATGCAGGAGACACCAAATAAAGGGCGACTCTGTCTCTGTGCAGAAAATCCCGACTTCCGAGAAATCCGCTCCTTTGTGGAGACGAAGGCTGACAGCGTTGTCCGGCAGAAGCCCACTGAGCTCCTGAAATACAATCAGAAGGGGCTGACCCGTGTTTACCCGAAGGGACAGAGGGTGGACTCCTCCAACTACGATCCCTTCCGCCTCTGGCTGTGTGGCTCCCAGATGGTGGCGCTCAATTTCCAGACCGCAGGTAAAGGGGGCCGGCTTGGGGCCACGGGTGGGACGCGGTGTCACAGAACGTGTGATTTGTCTTAGGAACGGGTTCGACCAGCATGCTCGTGTGAGGTCCGTCAGCTGGAGAGTGATTGATGGGGCTGATGAGCACGCCTGACGGTGCACACTTGTATTTGGCAGGTTCCGTGATGGCAAGTGACAGATACTGAGTTAGTCTGGATTAAAAGAGAAGGGGCATGCATTAGCTCATGTAATTAGGAGTAGGGCCAGCTTCAGGCACAGCTGGATCGAGGTGTTCAGCACTCTCCTCTTTCCCTGGTGCATCTGTCTTTGAGGGCTTTATGGTCACACTCTCCTCCAGAGATACTCACATGCTGGGGAAAACCAACATGCACAACTCTTGCACACATGTTGGCATAAATCAGTGTTTTGCACTTTAGTTGTTATTTAAGCCTCTTTTAGGGATCTTTTCATCAGTAGCGTCCTTGCTATTGCTTTTGTGCCTGCATATGATTCCACTAGAAGCATCATTTATTCAACCGGCCCCCTTCTGAGGCCCATTTAGGTTATTCCCCATCCTTTGCGGTGCCAGATGGCACCGCCTTCTGTGCGTATCATTGCACAGATGTGGCGCGATGCGTGCGTGAGACAACTCTCAGGCGTGCAGGGTGCATCCGACAGCACTAGCAATTTGATCCACTTTGCCCTGAGGACAACACCTGTGTCCGGTGGTGCCCCAGCTGAGACACTTGGCCACGGGCCTCCCCAGAGGTGGTGGGTGGGAATGTAAGCTGGTAAAGTGTGTGAATGCATCCTTCCGGCATAACTTCACCAACGTCGTTTTGTCCAACTTTCCAATCTTGGCCCATCTGATAGATGAAAAGTGCCGTCACATTGTCATCAAAGCTTCCCTTGTTGGTATTGCTTTTCTTATGAGTCGCATGAACCAGTTTCTCGTGTTATTTAGGAGGCACTAGCTCTCTCTTTCCTGCAAACTATCTGTTTATGTTTCTGACCCAGCTTTTCTCAGGGGGTGGAGGTATTTATAGCACCCGAGTATCACATCTCTTAGCAGATTAACTTTATATGTAATTGTCTGTCGTTTGAGTTAAGAGGATGTTTCTTTCTGCAGCGTGTCTTAACTTTCACGGACATTTCTTCCTCCATAGAAATGTGTAGCTTTGTGTAGTTTTTAATAGTCTTTTCTTTTTTTATGGGTCTGGATTTGGTATCGTACTTGGAAAGATGTTCCCCAGTCTGAGGGGTTTTTTTTGTTGTTGTTTTTTTAAAGCTTATATTTTTCTTCCAGCAATATGGGTTTGCTTTTTTTTTTTTTTAAATCCATTGAAAACCCTTACTTTCTTTGAGTTTTGATATCTATCTTAACTCCTGTTTTAAGTATTTTGGGGAAAATGTGCAAATCCTTCTCGTGCCTGACTTCCATCAGCAGTGCCCTTTGCTCCCCAGATAAATACATGCAGATGAATCAGGCCTTGTTTTCACTCAATGGGAGGACTGGCTACGTCCTACAGCCCGAGAGCATGAGGACGGAGAAGTACGACCCCATGCCGCCCGAGTCCCAGAGGAAGATCCTGATGACCTTGACGGTCAAGGTAAGGCCACGCTCGCTCGCCACCTCGCCCAGGGAGCCAGGGCCGTGCGGCACTGGAGGGCTCAGCCCTGTGCCTGCTGATGCCTGTCGTCGTCTTTAAACCGTCACCACCCAGACATGGCTTGAGGATCCTATCACAGGGCCCTGCAGGGGAGGAAGAGAGACCTTCTCAAACCATCTCGGACACCTCTCCATGTCAGCTATGGGGCTACGCTATGAGTCCATCTCTAGCTCGGTATCTCCTGGGTCCCAGCACGGAAAAAGAGGGAGAGCGAGCTTGGCGGGGTGGGGGGGAGCATTGGTCCACACATGGGCCTGTTTTAAGGGTAAAAGCTTTTTCAAATTTACTGAACTTGCCCGACTGCTGTGGCTCAGTGGTTGAGCATCGACCTATGCACCAAATTTACTGAACTTACAGAGAATGTGTTGTCTCATTGTGAGACATTGTTTTTTTTTTTTTCCTCTTTTGGAAACTATGCAAGGTAGAGAAAGAAATTGCATTTCTCATAAGATCAAGGAATTTTAAAAAAATGAAGCTTTTGTAACCAACAGTCTTTAAAAGATAAACCACCCACTCCCCCACCTTTCCTGGGAGCTCCCACCTGGGCCCCCTGATCCCTGTGCATCTTAACAGCTGTGGGAATCCACCCCCCCTCCACCTTTCCACTCCCCTTTCCTCGCCCACGAGAAGGAAACAGTGGTGGGGGCCACTTCAGAAGGTTGTTCGATCTCCAGCGGAGAAACTGAGGCTGGCTTTGAACGCTAGACCACTCTGCCAGACCACCCACGCAGAACTAGCTCCTCCCGGGATGGGTCTGGGAGAATTCCAGTCCTCACCTTTGGCGTCCTAGGTCCTCGGGGCCCGCCATCTCCCCAAGCTCGGACGGAGCATTGCGTGTCCCTTTGTGGAGGTGGAAATATGCGGAGCCGAATATGACAACAACAAGTTTAAGACGACGGTTGTGAGTAAGTTGCCTGGGTCCTTCCTTCTCTTAAACTACAGGCGAGTTGAGTCACATGTTGGGGACTTTTGTGATGCACTTTGGTTGTCCAGGTCTTTTCCTTCATGCCTCTTGGTCACCGTGGAACAGCTCGGGGAGGGGGAAACAAAGGACCACATGTTTCAACTGCTGGACTTGTAGCCAGGGCTGCGAGACTCGGTCTCTGTGCAGCAGCCCCCACCTGCTTTATCTCCTTAGACCAGTGGTTCTCGACCCTGTTGATGCCGCGACCCTTTAATACAGGTCCTCATGTTGTGTGCGGGTGGACCTGCCTGGAGACGGATAGAGGAGCGGTGTGTGTTTTCTGATGGTCTTAGGTGACTCCTGGGAAAGGGTCATTTGATTCCCAAAGGGGTCGCGACCCACAGGTTGAGAACCGGTGCCTTAGACTAAGCAGCAGAGAGGATGTGACTACCTGCAGCCCAGCCTAGGTGACCTTTTCCCACACAGGGCAGGGAGGCTGAGGGAAAGGCTTGTTCTTCCATGTTAAGCCAGGAAGAAACCATGAATGGGGGGCTTTTGAGGTCTGGGATCACGGCCCCTGGTGAAGTGGCGTTTGTGGAGAGTGGCAGGCTGACTCTCCCCTGACAAACTACAAGAACCCACGCTGGCTCGACCTCTTCAGACAGCCGCCTCCTCCCCGGCCTTACTCAGGCTTGTAACGACAGCTTCACCAGGATTGCTACTGGGAAAAAAATTAGTTGTCTTTTCTTAGAAATTGACATAGATGCATATTTACATGGTTGCTAAGGAGATTCAAAGCTGGTGAATGTAAAGATGTTTTGTTTTTTCCGGGAGGGGGCGGGACGAATGGAGTCTCTAATAAGCTTTGATCACCTTCCAGATGACAATGGCCTAAGCCCTGTTTGGGCTTCAACACAGGAGAAGGTGACATTTGAAATTTATGACCCAAACCTCGCGTTCCTGCGCTTTGTGGTGTACGAGGAAGATATGTTCAGCGATCCCAACTTTCTCGCTCATGCTACTTACCCCATCAAAGGAATCAAATCAGGTATGTGGCTTTTTAAAAATTTATTTTATCTTTGTTAATCCTCGCCTGAGGATATTTTTTCCATTGATTTTCAGATAGAGTGGAAGGGAGGGAGAGACACATCGATGGGTCGCCTCCTGCACAGCCCTTTGGCTGGCCGATGCTCTAACCGCTGAGCCAAACCTGCCAGGGCGGGTAAGTGGCTTTTAATGAAGATGTTCAGTTTGGGGGTTAATATTGTTCTTTAGTCTTTAAAGCCAGCAGCACAAAGAACGAGAAAGCGCCCGGCTGATGTGGCTCAGTGGTTGAGCATCGACCCAGGCACCAAGAGGTCGCCAGTCTGATTCCTGGTCAGGGCACACGCCCAGATTGCGGGCTAAATCCCCAGTGGGGGGCATGCAGGAGGTGGCCAATCGATGTTCTCGCTCTAAAATCAATAAAGAAAACAAAAAAATTTTAAAAAATATAAAGAATGAGAAAGCACCCTGGCCGGTTTTCTCAGTGGTTAGAGCGTCGGCCCACAGCCCAGAGAGACCCGGGTTCAGTTCCTGCTAAGGGCATGTACCTCAGTTGCAGTGTGTTCCCGGCTCCCGTTGGAGTCGTGCAGGTGGCAGCCACTTGATGATGTGTCCCTCTCATGTCGCTGGTTCTCTCTCTTCTTCCTTGTCTCCCTCCCGCTCCATCTCAGGATAAAAAAAAGAACGAGAAAGCATCTTCCCTGGTTTTTATGAAGTCACTGCAAAGCCGGTGCACTGGCACATGTACAGGCCATCATTCGGCCCAGGATGGGGCAAGGGGATGAGCTGGGCTCTTCAAAGTTAGGTGTCTGCATGCAACATTGGACTGTTAGGTGATTTTCCACCTGGCACTGTGGTTTGATTTCATTTGGAAAGATTAGGAGCTGTTGCCTGTCCCACCCACTCCGGGAAGGAAAATGCTTAGCAGGGGCGCGAGTTATGGCTGGGGGTTCCCTTGCGATTTTCTTCCATGCCGAACAGAACCCCTTATACTTTGAGAAGGGTCCTTTTGTGTGTGCCTGGGTCATGGGGCAAGCTCTTAACAATCAGGAGACCGAGTCCCACCCCTGCAAGCCAGATAGACTCCCGCACGGGGGAGGGGATTTGGGGCCCAAGAGCTTGGTGCTTCCTGATGCAGTTTCCCTAATTCGCTTTCCTGCTGGGTTTTCTGTAGAATGCTTGCCCAGCAGGCCCTCACTTGATGTTGAATTCCCCTCCTTAGTATTTGAAACAGAGATCCTTTGGATTCCTCACGGGGTCACTGTTTCTCTGTTTTCTAAGTGTTATTTTTCAAGAGAAAAAGGTCACCCTCGTTTCAGTGATTTATACACAAATCTAGTCTTTCCTCTTAGTGTGCTTTGGAAACTTTGGGTCCTGGTCTTTTCCCCCTCCCCCCAAATCTGATCGTGTCCACAGCTGGGGATGCCAATTAGAAAATGCAGGCTCCTGAACCCATTTGCAGGTGTGGGTTCAGGTAGTCCTGGTCGGGACCTTGGAACCTGGATGTTTAGCGAGCTCCTCAGGTGGCCCTTTGAGAAAACCGAACTAGACCGAGGCTGCCCATCTTATCATCAAGGAAACAAATTCCTTAACAAACAAGTCGATTAAACAAGAACCCGAGAAATGTTTAAACTGCCTGAATTTTGAGCCCTTTAGAAATATCCGGCTCCCTAATTTACTCTAATGAGAATAACAACAGGTGCTCCTTTGTAAGTCACAGAGGCCTGGTATTTGGCAACCCCTCTTGGTTAACATGCCCACTACGTTGTAAACGACGATAAACCCAAACTTTGTCATTTGCCTCTTTTAAAATATGTGAGGCTTAGGATAGATTTCTTTTCGTGGTCACTGTGCCGGCTTATTCCTAACCCATGTCCCTTGAAGGGTAAGGGACATGAGCAGCCCCTCCTGGTGCTTTGGGACAAGGTCAGAGTTTTTACCGGCCCCTAAATTTTGTCGAGTCATATAGAAAATGCTGTGACTTTGCTTGGAGATTTAAAAAACAGAATAAAACTTCAAGGAGGATGAAAACTGTGACCCTTTCCCCAACTGCGAGATACTCTGTAAGGATCTTCTCTCTCCGTTCTAGTTTCTAACAGTGCCTGGTACATCCATGTGCATGGAGGGGATACAATGAACAGCCCCTTTGTGCACGGGCATTGGGGGCCTTCTGAACTAAAAAATAAACTTTGCCCATTGTCAGTGGGGATATGCTTAAGCTTTTAAGCCAGCTGGAGCTTGGGCAGGAAGGAAAACATCATCTATTGTGTTAGGTGCCTTAAATTCTTCCTCCTTTAATCCTGTGAAAGAGGTTTTATCATCTCCACTTTTTAAATAGGAGCATTTTGGGGCCTACCTATGTTAATTAACTTGCTCAAGGTCACACACCTGTAAGACCACAGCTGGACTCGAACCCTGTGTCCTTCCTGCTGTCCAGGCCTCCTAGGCCAAAATACTGCCCGTGCTCCGAAAGCTGTCTCTGGTTCCCTTTCCTCTGCGACAGAACCAAACTCTAGCTTTGGTGAAATTAGCCGACACCTTCCAGTCTTAATTCCCAATATACATGAAGGGCTGCTCATCACCATGAGACCCGGGCAGTGAGGGGACTGGAGAGCGCCCACTTCTCCAGAGGCCTGCAGCACCCCTTCGCCTGGCAGCCTCCCCAGACACCACCGAGCGCTCAGGTTCCAGTACCTTCTAACAGCCAGTCAACAGCTAGACCGACTTCTCATTCACAGACAAGCTTGTCAGAGACGCAGGATCTCAGGCCCCACTACAGAGTCTGCATTAAAGTTGGAGAAGCACTAGGCTGGACTGCTAGGATCCGGTGGGTCAACAGGCAAACCAACAACAAAGTTCCCGCCCCCTGTGTAAGGGGTAAAGAGGTCCAAAAACTTCTCTACAGCATACTCCAGGAGCACAATGTCCCCAAAATCCTCCAAGGAAAAGACCAAGACCTGAGAGTTTTAAACCCACTCACAAAGTGAAAGGGCAGATGCATTAAGACATGCACCGTTCAGGAATTAAATGTCCCATGAGCTCATATGGAAGACGACAAATTTAGCCAGCCAAGGTCTCAATGGAAGAGTTCAGTACGAAGGTGGTGAGCACTGGACACGTTTAAAAACATTTGTGCGTTTCATCACGTCAATTTTATATCAGAAAAAGAACACAATAAAATATTGAGCTCTAGTAAATGAGATGCACACTGACATTCAGGAGGAAGTGTACAGATGTCTTCATCTTACTTTGAGATAGACATACACATAAGGTAGACTGATGGGTGGACAAATGGGATAAATAAAGTATTATAAAAGGTTAATGGTGAGATCAGGTAATGGTTGTACAAGTGTTCCTTACACTCTTAGCTTTGCTGTATAAATGTCAGAAAAATACAACCGAGCCTCCCTCTGTGGAAGAATTATGGTTACAAAATGGAACACACATTACACACCATGTCGGTGTAGAAATAATGAGCTTTTACCAAATTAGGGGAAGAAAAGGTGTACAGGGTTGTGTAAGCATGCCGATTTCCTCATCTGAAGCAGAGGAAAGCAACTGATAGAGAATGTTTTGCACTAAGAGCAGTAAGAATCATCATCAAACAAGCCAAAACCTGAATGATGAAACAGTGTGAGTGCCCTAATTGGAATAGTGCTTGTTCTGAGAATCAGTAGATAAAATGCAAATGAAAAGCTTTCAAGTCGGAGGTGGATCCCCGATGGCAGTGTAGGTGGACGCTGAGCTCGCCGCCTCCTAAGAATGAACACATCAAACGTATACCTCTATTAAGAGCCGTTCCTCTCGAGAGGCCTGCGAACAGCTTCTCCACAACCAGTAAGAGAAAGGGACCACCTAGAGAAGATCAGGGTGCCATGACAGCCCTCTGGGGGCTGAGGAAACAACCCAGGACCGGGGGAACCAGTGAGCGCCATTATGTTTCTCCTACATGTGAACAGTGGGTGGAGCTCCATCCAGGTTCTCCGGCTGACACACGAGGGGCTGCCCTGTCCACAGAGTGTGGAGCTAGCAAAACTTTGCAGTGCCCCACACAGGGCTGCTGGTGCAGAGTCAGAGGGGTGCAGCTGTGTATGCATGCACACCTGCTCCACTTGGAGAGGGGGCAGAACTGGTGGGGCCTGAAGACAGCATGAAAAGCATCCCTTCCCAGGCCGGGACCCTGCTCTGATCAAAGACAGTTAAAGCAACAGGGCATGCCAAGAATGCACCTAGCAGTCCCACTTACATCACTCAGATTAGAAGGGCAAGGAAGCACACACACACCATGCTAGTAATTGCTCCTGGAACCCATTCCTTAGGGCCAGGACATACACAAGGCACCTCCTATACCTACTACAACTGGACTGCTAAAACTATTCAGCACGCCGTGTACCCAGAGACCACTATTTCAAGGCCGGGAGGGATAGCAATTCTTTCCAACTCAGAAACAAACACAGCAAATTCAACAAAATGGGGTGACAAGAATAGGCCTCAAATGAAAAAAAAAAAAAGAAAAAAACTCTAGAAAAAACAACAATCAAACAGAGAAGTAATTTGCCTGGTAAAGAATTCAAAGAAATGGTCATAAGGAAGCTTAACCAACGTCAAAGTACAATAGAGGAGCTGACAGATCACCTCAACAAGGAGGTAGAAAATGTAATCAACTAATCTAGTTAATACAGAAGAATGGATTAGCTGCCTGGAAGAACAATGGAGTGGAATCCAATCAGAACAGCAAAATGGAAAAAAAAAAAAATTATTTTTGGTTAAGTCTCACCCAAGGATATCTTTCTATTGATTTTTTTTCAGATGGAGGGAGGAAGGGAGAGAGAGAGAAACATCCATGTGAGAGAGACACATTGATTGGTTGCCATCTGCAACCCAGGTATGTGTCCTTGACCAAGAATTGAACCTGTAACCCTTTGGTACATGGGTTGATGTTTAACTGCTGAGCCAAACCAGCCAGGGTGAAAATTTTTTAATGAGGATAGTATCAGAGATCTC